GAGGAATAACCTGTAATGGTACTGAAAGTTCTATTGCTGACTGCAAAATTCCAGAATGGGGTTTGCCTGGACAGGGCTCCTGCAGAGCTCCAGTGCGCATTGCTTGCTATCGCGAAGGTTTGTTTGTTCACAGAATGTGTGTGCTTTTGATAGAAATATTTGTCTGTGTAGTTTCATTACTTATTTTACTTAATTTTTCTTGGGAATAAATCATCATATAACACTTTTAATGTTGTATAGATCCACTAGCATAACTAGAACTGCTAAAGCTAGATTCACTGACACATAGAAACTGATACACGTAAGCTAGTAAGTAAGGAGATGAGTGAGGTAGAATTTAGGAAAATATTTGAACAACCTAGCACAAGAAATGGAAACACAGCAAATGATTTCTCAGAGACTTATAAGCACTACAAGGCAATTATTGGGTAAATATAGTGAACAAACTGAAGGAATTTAAAAAAAAAAATAGATTTAGGAAATGTTCTCACCAACACTAAAGATCAAATGGACAGTGGTCTGAATAATTTGAAGAACTTCTGAACAGACCAGCCCTAAATGTCCCTCTATTAGAAATGGAACTAAAAATCAACTGTGAGATAACTAAAGAGGAAATTTTAACGCTATTAATCTCTTGTAGAAGGGAAGGCTGCAAGTCCAGACGTAATTCCAGCCGCAGTTACTTAGGCCAGTATAGACACATCTACAGAATTGCTACACAAATTATTCAGTAAAGTCTGAGAGACCAAGGAAATACCAAACTAAAAGAGAGAAGAATTTCTGATGAAACTGAGAAAAAAAAAGTTTGGTGCTTTCTTAATATCCTACCCCAAACAGAGGAAATCCACAGGTCACGGGACAGTCAAATATATCAGGCGGTAGTAGATAGGCTGCATGCAGCCTAGGTCCCATGACTGCATGCAGTCATGGGACCTAGGCTACACTCTCTCTTGGGATGTAGGTGGGTTGGATCTAGGGCCAGTTCTAGATGTTTTGGGGTCTTTAAACGCATCAGACAGCTGGGAAACCCAGTCTTACCACCCTCTAAAATGTTGGACTGTCCTGTGACATCATCTGGGGTAAGATATTAGGAAAGAACCAAAAGTTTACCTGCCCTGCAGTAGTGTATAGAAAAAAAATTCATAAGGGAAAAACAAAAATAATGAGACTAAACCAGGCAAAAAGTAGTCCAACTCCTCTTAGTGATATCCCACTACAAGATGTGAAGATGTACACCTGTTTATGGATTAATGTAGATAAAAGTGGGGAATATGATACAGATTTTTAAATACAAATCCAAGCAGCAAAATTAGTATTTATAACACTAGTAAATGTGTGGGAGTGAAATAAATCAAAACGAATACTAAACTTTCAATGTTTGACTCTAATGTCACATCAGTAATGCTAAAATGGAGTGGAAATATGGAGAACTAAAACAGTTATTATTACTAAATTACAAACATTCGTTAACAGGTGCCAGCACAAAATAAAGATAATTAAATGGTATGATATTGTCACTAATGTGGAACTTTGGGAGAGAATGAAACAAATTCCTGTGAATCAAGAGGTAAAGAAAAGACTCTTATTTTAGATAGGACACACATTGAGAAAACATGAGATCCACATAACTAGAAGGTCTTTTCACTGGAAGCCACAGGAGTATAGAAATAAACACAGACCTAGGGAAAAGAAAGTAAAGTTAAAAAATGGGGAAAACATGGGGTGAGCTGCATGCAGTAATGAAGAATAGAATGACTTGGCTTGAGTTGGTTGAAGCTCTATGCTTCATTGTGATATAATAGGCAAAAAGAGAAAAAAATGTAGTTTGAAATCAGCATTCTTCATAATTATTTTTATGATGACAATTGAAAACTTGAGTAGAATGACAAGTACCAGTTATTATTTTTTTGTGTGTGGCTAAATTCACCAGTTATATTTTACAATTTTATTACTGCAAATTGATTTATATGTAATCAAAGCCAGTTATGTAAAATTCTTACTGATTGATTAAAACAATTTCTAACTGGCAGGTTATTTATTAGATTAAAAGAAAATATTTTTTATCACGGCCTGAGGAGAAAAGCATGGCGAGGAGTTACTTGGGTATCTGGCCGATGCTCAATACTCAGCGGAAGGATAAAACAGAGATACATACAGAGGGTTATTGGTACTATCAGAATTGGAACTCTTTGCTTGCTGCTGAAGATGGGGACTGAGCACTTATGGGAGTGTCCTGAGTGCTGTGATATTGATTATTAATTCAACATTCAACATTTGTTTATTTTTTAAGTTTTTTAAAAATTTCCCCAGAAATGACACTCACGATCCGTGATGGAAATAATCAAACAGGGCTGTTGTATTTGACTCATGACAGTACGGATATGGAAATCTGTGCTGATAAATGGGAAAGTACTGAAGCTAACGCAGCTTGTCTAATGCTAGGTTTTAATGGAGGAAGAACCTGGATGAGAGACGATTATAGCACAAATATTGCTTCAAGGTAACAACAAGTTTGTGGTTATAAAATTGTTTGTAGATCATTAAGAACCTTCATGTCTTGTTCCTTTAACTTTGATATTTTATTAAACTTCATATTTTACTTTCAACAACACAGAAATTGTTTGTTAAATTGTTTTTAATGTGTATAAACTTTAATTTGATTCATTTTTTATTACCCCACTGACTACCAAGCCAGTTAACCCTTGCACCTTCCCATTTGCCACGTTTTTTGGTGTCTACTAAAAATGCCACAGCTTCACAACTATTTGACATAAACTCACAATATTTTATTTATTTTTGCTCCAGATTTAATAGAGAACAAATTTCAAAAATAATAAATGCCTATCTTGTCTGACATCATCATCATGTGGTTGTACATTGGTGCAAAAAAAAGTAATCAAAAAGTCTTCTGACACCAACATAATTAATGGTGTTTGTTTTGTGTGTGTGTGTTTTTTTCTTTTTGTGTGTGTGTGTTTTTTTGCTGAAATAATCCTGGATGAGAGCTCTGCCTCACCAAGAAATAAAACTCAAAATTCAGTGGCTGTTTACCATTTTGCCTCAAGAACTTACAGTGTGACTGAACTATCAAACGAAAAATGCCTCAAAAACTATCTTTTCCCAAAATGCCCAGTAAATGTTGAGGATTGAATTGTGAAATTATTTTCACTAAACTCCTAAGCCACAGAACCTTAATATACACAATCTATACCAACAGAGTCGTCAAACAATACACACCCGAAGCATGTACATGAAACATTTCACAAGAAAATAATGAGAAGCCCTAAAACAAACATTAATGAGAGAGGCTAAAGATGCTTGACTGGATTCCATCCATGAAATCAAGTTGATTTCTATGTGATACATAAGAGCACAACAGGACAGTGAGGATGATATCTTTTACTCTACACAAGTTCCAAATCATTCAGATCATCTGCTCAGCTGAATCATTTTGTCCGGATATGGATACTCTGTTGTGTTATATTCAACACTTGATCCTATAGATTATTCACCACATTTGCTTTATCATAAAAGTAAACAATTTATAGTGCACCTCTTTTATGTTTCATTTATGTTTATCCTTTTTTATAAAATACAAAATTATAATTACTTGCAGCAGTATATTGGGGCAAGTGACCTGTACATCAGTTGATATGAAGTTTTTCAACTGCATCAAGGACCAATGGGGAGTTTCAAAGACACAGTGTAACAGTGGGCCTGCTGGGGTCAGCTGTTACAACAAAGGTAACTTTTCCCCACCAGTTACAATTTTAGGACTGCAGTAAATACACTTAGATGATCCATGTAACTATGTACAAGTTGATGGTAATTCTTAGCAACTGAAAACAATAGTTGGTTAGTTTGATCAGTAGATTTGTTTCCTTTTTTTAATTGCGAATAAATATTTTTTTTTTTTACAAAAAGAAAAGTTTATCTTTTATACAGAGTTAATTATATTTTTATTGTCCACAACTATACAAATGATCTTCATGTTTATAAAACAATTATATAAAATAATGTAACTATGCCAAAAATTCCTCAGTACCCTTGAGTGAAACAACTTTTTTAAAGCCAAGCTGATGTCCAATTTTCCTGTAAGCCTCAGTGTTAGATGTCAATGTGCATGGCATGAGTCCCCCTACATGGATGTTTTCTAGGCCCCAGGAAATGTATTTCATTTACTGCTTCCCCCGTACACATTTGTTGAGTACTACCCTCACATATCTTAAAATATTTTGGAAGGGGATAATTAAAAATAAAAGGAATTTATTAGTGACCTGTGTTAAACTTTTTTTAAAGGCTTTTTTCATTCTGGAATTTTAAAGGTGTTCATGTGACCACCCTCTTCCACCCCCCCCCCCCCCCCCCCCCCCCCCCCACCTTTTCATATTATGGTGGTTTCAAAAGTGGCACAAAGGACTGACCATTTAGGAAGCAGTGGCAAACTACTAAATGTAAAATTTGTCTAGAAAAAACACAACAGCTAAAAAATGCTGGGGTTGATTCTGCAATGTCCAGTAAAGGATATGCAACTAACTTCAACTGCAGCAGAGAATAACAACAACCAAAAATAATTTGATTTGGTGCCAGTTTTACTGACTGACTTTCTACCCCACTAGGACATCACACAAGCGATAAACACCCGATGAGCACAAAGTGCCACCATGTGTATGATCACCCTGGAGAGGTCCCAGAAACCTTTTTTTCAGACAATTGGCCATATTTATGGCTTGCCTATATTGCAGCCCCTGGCAAAAGTCAGGGTGGGGCTTCAAATAACAAAACATTTCATCCTAAAAAGGACGTAAGGATTGCAAGCCAGATTTAATCAAGAAGCCAAAAAACTTATAACAATTATCATGTACAAATATGATACTTTATTTAATATTAATGGATCACTCAGCATGCAGTGCATATTTAATAGCTGCTTTTCAGAAGCTAATATGATCAGACAGTGCAAGTTTGGTTATGATATGTGTGTTATTTTTCTTCCAGTTAAAATGGATCCTGGAAATGGTGGAGCTGGTATTCTACAAATTTTTAATAACCAAACAAAGATGTGGTCCCCCATTTGTTTTCAAGGATTTAATGATGTCGATGCAACAGTTGCTTGTCGGGAACTTGGCTACAACCAGGGGACACAACTGCCTTTTGAAGCATTTGGATATTACAGTGTTCCTCCTCAAAGATCAGATGTCAACTGCAATGGTTCAGAAAGTTCTATTCTTGATTGTCCATATAAAAGCAGAAATGAAAACTGTACTATAAATGATTATGCCTCCATTTCATGCTATGATACAGTTCCAAATGGTAAGTCTATGTTGGGTATTTGTTATTTTTACTGCTGTTCAGTGGGGTTTTTTTTTCTGTCTGTTTTGTTCAGTATTTGCCATTTCTTCTTCTTTGTCTTCACTGATTGTAAACTTTGGTAGAAAGTTCTGGTTGTTCATCTACTTCTGTACTTATGCCAGGATTTGAATTTTGTGTCCGCATCCGTTTGACAATTTTGGCCATGTTGGCCAGTCTCCTGATCAGAAACCTGTTTTAGGATGACCACAGAGAGATGTAGATAGGTCTGTAACAGTCTCTGCCTGGCCCTGGAGCAAAATCAAGTCTGGTTAAGCACTTCTGCATAATATATTTGCCATTGAAATCTCTTTTAGTATTTGCTATTTTCAGTTGTGTTCAGTACATATTCATTTTGTGTGCATGTGGTATTTCAGGTTGTTTTTATGTGCTATTTCGGTTTGTATTCATATGTTATTTTATTTTGCCTTCATGTGCTATTTCAGTTTGTCTTCATGTGCTGTTTTATTTTGTGTAAAAGAAATGGACCCTTTTCCATGCCTTTGATGCAAATTGGGTATATAGGGCTAGACCTATATTTTATAAACCAAACAGCACTTGGTGGATATGTGGTCAGCATCACGCCGACTGCCTTTACTTCCTAGGACTGTACTGGCCCTCGTCAGGAACTGGACCCACAACCTTTTGATCCGCAGGCAAGCATCTAGCTTCTAGACCATGGTGGGTCCCTGTTTCAGTTTGTGTTCCTGTGGTATTTCATTTTGTGTTCATGTGCTATTTTAGTTTATGTTCATGTACTATTTCAGTCTGTGTTTATTATATATCATTCAGTTTGTATTCAGTATATATATATTTCAATTTGCATTAAGTTTAGATCATTCATTATGTTAAGTTTATAGATTTTAATTTGTTTTCACTATGTAGCATTCAGTTTGTGCTCACTTGCCATTTCAGTTTGTCCTCGGTGAAATAGATCCAAGTAAAAAAAAAATGTTAACAATGTTTACTTTAGTAGAGCAATGTTTACTTTAGTAAAGCAATGTTTACTTTAGTAAAACACAGTTAAAACGTAAAAGAGCAGATCCTTGGTACATATTTATGTTAGCTGTTTTAATCATCACGTACATCGACATCAAGCACCAGCAGGTTCATAAAAAACATGAGTCTATCATCATATGCCTAATGCTGCACATGAAGAGGGTCCTTCACAATTTTTGCTAACTATGTGCACTCTATAATTTTTGTGGACATCATGAATATTGTCATTGGAGCTAGAGTTAATATTTTGTGTGATGCTCTCAGCTCACAACCTAGCCATTCCATGTGGAGGCTGAGCCATGTGGGACAAAACCTGGTGATATGAACTTCTTAAATCTGAAACTTTAAATCTTTACTTGATTTGTTTTTTTTATGTCCATAGGTTGCTTTGTTTATATACAGTTTACGTTATTATGTATCAAGACATCAACAATAAATTATTTCTGTTTCTAGGAACGCTGAAACTAGAAAATGGCAATGTAACCAGTGCTGAGGGATTTGGTGTGTTGAGAATATTCCAGAACAACACATGGGGCTATGCTTGTGAGGATGTATTTACTGACATAGATGCTGCTGCTTATTGTTCTAAAGTGGGCCAAGCTTTGGGTTACCGCTATTCTGATGGCATGAAACTAACACCATTGAAGAACGTGCCTGGCCCATATTTTGTTACTTTAGCTAATTGCCGCAGGAGTTTAGATTCTGGATATGAATGCAGTCCTAGCTATTCCCGTTGCTATTCAAGAAAAGTTGTGTCGCTTGTTTGCGCTGAAAGTTCAGGTAAGGAAATATATTATGTTTTCTCCTCTGTTAGTCCGTGTAGTGTGGCATTTGTAATTATGTCTGCACAGCCTTTAGTGCCTTGTACCACCAATAATTTTTGATACATAGGTTCTTTCATGATGCTGGTCTCCTTCTGCCTCTCTTTCCCCTCTGAATTTGTTCTTGTCACAACATACTTCCATGTTCCAATTCTTTTGATGTGCCCAAAGAATGGAGATTCATCTGTTGGAGAGAACCAGTTATCTTTATATAATTATTTTATTAATAAAAGCAATGTGTATTAAGTATAATCAACATCATGACAATTTTCACACTCAAGAGACTAGTTCCAAATTTTAAAGAACAGTTTCTCTTAATTTTTGTAAACATTTACTTTTGGGCAAACTGTCTGAAAGGAAAGATCCAAGAACTAAATCCACAATATGCATCCTTAAAGTTATGATTTGTGTTTTTATACATGGGCGCTATTGTGGTACATTGATCAGCATGCTTGCTTGTCCACTTTCATTTGAAATTATGATCCAGATGGATTTTTTCTGTTGATCTAAAAATTATTACTATAAAATATACTGAAAATAGTGGCTCAACGATTCTCACCTGATCTGTACAAATATGTTGATAACATCATTTGAATTTTTGACCTCAGGGTTTGAAAAAGTGACCTATACTTTTTGTTGATTCTGCTTCTTTTTTATTTTTTGTCTACTTCTTCATCTTTATGTTATTCTACTTCTTCTTATTTTACTTTTGGTGCTGTTGTGGCAGTGGTGGTGGTATTCTGCTTTTCTCGTCCTCTTCCTCTTCTTCTTGCACTTCCCTCACCTCTTCTTCTTATACCTCCTCCCCCACTTCTTCTTCTTCTTCTTCTTCTTCTTCTTCTTCTTCTTCTTCTTCTTCTTCTTCTTCTTCTTTTTCTTCTTCTTCTTCTTCTTCTTCTTCTTTGTTTATTTTTTCCACCGTTGAATTTCATTTAGAGTGTAGTAGGCCTTCAGTCAATTCTCTGAAGCCTTTTGTAGACTAACTTAATAATGAGCTGCATTTTGCAGCAAAAGTTTTCTACAGAATTGGGTATTCATTTGTATACCACATCTCCTTACCTGTCTAATAGAATGAAAGGCCACTGTTACCCTTCCAAGTCCTGGTAACCTATGATGTACTTATATGTAAAAACTGACTTAAATAAAACAAAAGAACTGGTCAGATTTACACACAAACACAAAGTGATTACTACTGGCAAAATAATTGTTGCAGGTTGCCTTTATCAGCATACAACAAACAGTGATACAGCTGTATAAAAATTACACAAAGTAACTTAAAAATATTTATATTTAAAATGTCCATGTACACCAAACACAAACATACATAAACTGACTAAGAAGGTTAACTGCTCCCCCCCCCCCCCCCTCTTTTGTGCTACAAAAAAAAGACAAATACTGGAAAACTAATATTCAAGGTTTTGGCAGCTAGGAGGTTACGTGGAAAGGAAAAATTACAAGGGACAAGTAAAGAGAAAAAATATTTTATACTTAATAAAAGTGTGATGACCATTGAGTTAAAAGTCTTTGTCTTCACCATATTTACAACTAAATTTTTACACCCGAACAAAGTGGTGGCGAAAGATATCCAGAACAGAGCACTTTCACTATGTTCTTTAATAGTTAAAAATAAAATGAAAAGTTTCAATTTGTTTACATTTTTTAAAATCTGTTCTTACTATGACTAGTCCATGTATGAAAGTGAGTAATTTCATGAATGCCTTGAAAGAAACATACCACAAAGACATGACTTTGTATCGCTGTTCGTAAAAGTAAAGTAAAGGACCCTTTTCCACGCCTTAAGGTGTATAGGGCATATAGGGCTAGACTTATATTTTTATAGACCAATTGGCAGAAGATTTGTAATGTGGTCAGTATCACGCCGGCTGCCTTCACTTTCTCAGGACTACACCCGGTACCCACTCAAGGCTAGGACGACCTGGGAACCAAGGTCATTTTTGAAAAAAGTCTGGTTCTGTCAGGTAGCGAACCCACGACCTTCCGATCCGCGGGGAGCGTCTATGCTCGGCCACGTCGACTCCCGTATCGCTGTTCAGATAGGTGAATACGAGCTGCATTGTAGAGCCATTAGAGTAAACAGCAGGTTGAACCTGGTCAAAATAAAATTAAAATAATAATAATAAAATAAACAAAACACAAGGCTTCTGATTAAGTGAACACAAAATAGGCATTGTCAGTAATTTTACGCTTGTGAAGCTGTTGAAGAGTAGAACCTTTGGATCTTTCTGGAGTGCTATGATTATAGTCTTCACTAATCACTGTAATCTTTTCAGGAATGTTGTAATCAGATTTATTCAACCTACAATTTTCAGCTCCTAAGCTACAATTGTTGGATGATGTCATTGGGATTCAGTCAGGACAGCTCATGTTTAATATTAATGGTAACCGGGGAGTTATATGTGCTGATGGCTGGACAGATAAAAATGCTCAGGTAGCATGCAGACAACTGAATGCTGATTATGTTGCAGGCATAGCCAAAGTGTAAGTGATCATTCTGTCATTGTCATTATTATTGTAAAGTTAGTCGGCCCTAAGTCTGATTTTAAAATCTTTTGACATGACCACACATGCTCCTTTTCCTCAGTAACTCTCTTAACTATCAGGCTTTTTTCTTGTAACAAACAATTTTGTAGGTGGAAATGGATGTCTAAAAAGGGTGCCATATTGCATATCACTTATTGCTGAATAAAATACCTCTGTTAAGTACCAGAAAACTCATTGTACGATTCTTGGTGATTCCACAGATAATTTGATGTTCTTACTATCTTCTGTCTCAGACTGATGTCATAATAACTCACTGTATGTGAATTATAAATTCCACTGCTTCTGTCCCATAGAGTCTGTTGAACTCCTTCAGGTCTGTGTCTTTATTTACTTTTAAAGTCAACACTTTAGGAAATAGCGAGTCAAGTCTTGATCAGAATGTTATTAGAGAATTAAAAATTGAGAGGTTAAACTTGCTGCACCAGGCTTTATTCCATAGTCTTAGCTCTCTCTGTGTCTACCAAACAGCTAGATGTCTGCTGAGAGTGCTGCACAAACTATACACGTGTCTTTTACATCAGTTTATTTTCCCTTGGATTCTGTTCTTTAATGACCTAAATATGTTATGTTATAACCAGATCCAAGCAACCTACTTTTTTGTTTTCTCAATTTTCAGTAGTATTTTGGTCATTTTAGAATAATTTATGTTTTTGTTTTCTTGAATGAAGATATTGAATGAAGATAATTATTTGAATGAAATCTATTTGCAATGTAAGTGTTACTAAGAATAAAATAAGCATTTTGTCATGAAACATATATGTAAGCTTTGAAATCATATGGAAGAAACTTATAATTCAATAACATATAAAGTCAGAAAATCAGTTTCTAAAAAAGGCTGGCTTAAAGAAAGATGATGCCTTTTTCCTGCTTTTTTTTTTCTTTTCAACTTGGCCGTAGAGAGACAATAATACACAAAGTAATAGAAGATGATCTACAGGAGAAACAGCAAGAATACATGGTTATTCTAATTAAATAGATATCAAATTAACCCTTTTATAGCTGGTTAGATATCAGCCATATGATACTAATCTCATAATTTATCGACCAATCAGCACTCAATGTTCAGCATCATGCTGGGGTGACATATAGTAGGAGAAAATGAACTAGAGAAAAAAAAAACACTAATGCACTTAAAAGAAGCAGTTAAAAGACACAGGGCTATTGAACAAGATTAAACAGAATACATATTAATAACAAGAAAGGGTAATTAAACAAATGTGGGCCATATACCAATAGATAATATGAAAACCAAATAACAAAACATACAAAGACTTGGCTACAAACTTCAGTTTCTCAAATATACTAAGAGAATAAATCAAATCTAGAGTACAGTCCAATAGTAAGATTTACTCTGGCCTAAAGCATTTGCTAAAATCAAAATGCTCTGTCTCATAACATCAAGATGATATATAACACACTTATAAGATCAAGTGTCTCTTATGGCTGTGAAATCAGGAGGGGAAAAAAAAAGAAGATGAAGCCTTATTACAAATATTTTTAAAAGAAACTCTTACGACAAATGTTTGGACCCATCAAAGATGCAAATAGCAGAGAATAGAAAGTGAGAAGTAACAATGCAATGCTAAATCTGTTTAAATTACCTGTAATTACTGGTATCATAAGGGTTGTAGTTAGGGCATATAGAGAGAATGGCAGATGACAGAGAAACAAAACTGTATACATAAAAGACTTGAATGGGAGCAGATGGAACAAGACAGTTGAGGGTTAATATTCAAGAAGACCTATAAACACTTGGAATCATAAATAGGAAAGAAGAGGTCAGTCAGAGATGGAATCATTAACATAATCCTTATCTTATCTTAGTATCAAATTATGCATCTTTTAACCTGTGTTTACAACTCTTAGAAATGTACACTTAGGACACTATTCTGAGAAGCATTGAAATTATGTGACAAACTTTAACTCATTATCACAAAGGGTCAGAATGTAATTAACTCCTGGGGATGTTGTGACTGAATCTGTTGTATCAGCTTGTCTAGTCTAAAAATTGTGATTTAATAAGTGATAATTTGTTAGGTGTATTATTATTTCACATAATTTGTTTGCAACTGTGTTGTGCACTCTTAATGAAAGTTTCTCTTCAGTTGTTATCTTAGCAGAATTGTAATTGATTTAGGCAAAATTTAATTTACTTCTGTATCATATGTATATATATATGTATAGTTTTTAAAGTAAATAACCTTTTCATGCCAGTGGTAGATCATTTTTATAGACCAGCCAGTACTCAATGAGGGGATTAAACAACAGCCTCTTCCAACTTTTACTTTCCAGGATATCTCTTTATACTGTATTAGGCTGAGTTGACCACAGACCAAAGACCAGTATTCTTTTTCCAAATCTGCCAGTGCAAATTTAAACTTAAGACCTTTCAGCCATCAGATGAGTATCCAGCCACTCCATCTCCTTTTTGAAAATGAAATATTGTATTTACTTTGAAAAATAATTTGTGTTTATTCATCATAAAAGCTAAAAAATATTTTCACAGTTACAACCGCACTGCCTCTGAAATGTACCTATCTGGAGTCAAGTGTTATGGATATGAGGGCAACCTTTTTCAGTGTCCCAATGATGGTTGGAAGAAGATCAACACTACAGCCTGCGGACCGAATTCCAAGGAAGCTGGTGTCGTTTGTTATAAAAAATGTTAGTAAAATATATGTAATATGGGGGGAAATGGGGTGGGGGGGGGGGGGGAGTAGAAGATGGTTGAATATATCTCCATTAAATATAACCTGTTTATTAGTCATCTGGGCAGATACCATTTTTACAACAAAAATTTACTGTGATGGATATCAGTACTTTCTTTCTGCCTGTGACTTGAAAACTGAATGGAAATAAACAAAATGATGTTCACAAATACAGCTGAACATTTAAATTAACAAAATTATATCAGTGGACAAAACAACAGGCTGACCAGCAAGAAGTTTAACTTGGAAAAGGAAATAAATAAACAGGAGAAAACATAAAAGTCATAGTTCCATTTATGTTTAATAATATCAGGTGCACTGCAGTTACTCCTTTTTTCACATCATCACTTTTGGTGTTCCTGCTGACTAGCTCTTCAGACCCATACCCCTACCCGAGTGCTGTGATGTCGGTTTTTGAATCAAATCGAATCAAATCCATACCCCTCATGTGGGTTCCAAGGTCCCATTTTGAGGGAAACAAGAATAGACACACCGCCCCCTAACAAGCATGTCGTAAAGGTCAACTAATTAGATGGGTTGCAGTTGAAGTCAGAGTGCATCTGCCTGAGAGGCAAGGAACCAACATTCTGCATATAAGTCAGTGAGATCTGTAAAACAAGTTTGCATGCAAAACAGCTCTGGAGCAAGACAAAATTTCAGAAGGGGATGATTGCAGAGGCCTAGCAAGGGGCGGTCATTTGTCATCCCTGGGATGACAAAATGGCAAAATATATGTTTTTAAACATAAACAAATGTGTGTGTGTGAGTTTGTGTGTGTATGTGTGGTGGGGTGTGACAGGACATTTTTAGCATGGGGTACCACCTGACCTTACTACGCCACTAGATGAACCATCGGCACTTTCTGCCCGAGTTTACAACTGTGAACACTAAGGAAAAGAAATTCATATTTTCCCCTTTCATGTATTTGCTGTCCTACGTTGACCTTGGTAAAAATGTTTGGTTGTATTTGTGTGCATCTTTTCTTTGTACTCCAATGAGATGTGTATTAAATGTGTATGGACTGAGTGTGAATGCCTGTGGGGTTCCTATGGACCTTGAAATTTCCTCTTTCTATTGTCTTCATGTTCAGCCTCTCCTTTGATTCCTATTTAATCTGTACTCAGCTCTCTTGCTACAACCTTGTGGTTACTTTACTTTAATTCCTTACAGCATTAAAGTTCTAGTTTAACTCTTTCTGTCCCAAGAAAAGCATCATGTGTGACCGGATATTATTTGTGTGTTAAAGTTATTTGTGTATTTTTTACAGAACATTGCAGAACCAACTCCAGCATTTTTGGCTGTTGTGGTTTTTCTAGGCAAATTTACATCCAGTAGTTTGCCATTGCTTTCTGGACGGTCAGCTTCTTGATACCATTGTCGAAACCAATGCAAGACGCAAGGCCCGCAGCTGGGATAGAACCCGGCACCCCTGCATTACGAAGCGCATTCGCAACGCCTAAGCCACACCGACACAGACGCAGTTTGAACCACTGCATATATTTAGTGCGGGATTCATTGAAAAGAATTTAAAAAGTATATTTATTCCCTTCAATGGCTCCTGTGGAAGTAGTATACCTATAAGTTAAGTGTTGTTATTATGGCTGTCTTGTCCATTGGATTCACCTTCTGGGACTGAAAATGTTAAAGTAACAAATGTTTGAGTCCAGAAAGTTACAGAAAAAAAATATATATAAAATACAAATTAGTAAAACAAGCAACTCATATTAATAAGTTAATGTAATGAATATCTGTGATATAAGAAAGTATAAAATATGCACTGTCTTTGAACTAACTAATGAACATTTGATGTGTTCGATGGCATTGAAAGAGTTCAAAAATGTATCCAATAATAAAATAAAACTATTAACATTTATTCTTCTTTTTCAGTGTTTCTAAAAGATCAGGTTGTGACACCAGACAGTGTCTCTGGAAGGCTGAGTATGGTGCTAAGCCGAGTCATCAGGGATGTTTGCTTTGATGAGTACTTCACATTTTCATTAGCCCAGCTGGCATGCCAAGAACTGGGTTTTGAAAATGCTGCTTTACTGAAGCCAGCAGCACCTGATCCTACAAGTTTGTACAGCATGGTTAAAAGACTTTCTTGCCTGCCAACACATACTAGTCTTACAAGTTGTGACTATGGTACTGGGAGCTGCTCCGATGGACAAGTCCGCTTGCTATGTTACAACAGTCCAAAAAATGGTGACTTTTGAAAAAAAAAATTTTAAATCATTTACAATTTGTTCTTGCTAGTTTTAATTCTTCTTCAGTTGTGTTGTCAATTAACATGAAAATATCGTTATAAAATTTTTCCCTTTTGAATTTATAAACACAGTTGTGTGTCAGTGGAATGTTTTCACAAATGTGTGTGTGACACGTGTATGTGTGTCAGTGTTAGCATAGTTGTGTAAATCCTTGTGTAAGATTCAGTGTTAATTTTCTTATTTAGTATTTTGACGTGGGTGAAATCTGCAGCAGTGAGATTCAGAAGCTCTGAATGCTGAAGAAAAAGTGAAAGAAGAAATGTTTGTGAGATGTGATCCTGGTTCACTATCATAGATAAACAAGTTATTCACATAATCCTAAACTATTAGATATACCTATCTTGAATTTGAATGGAACACAGTAGCAAATATGCAGCTGGTGTAGGAATAAGTAGCAAATGACAGATATAAGCACAGGATGTATTTAAAAATATACTTTTGATATTTATTTAATGTCTCTTGTGTAAGCAGATCAGTTTAAAGTTACCCTGGTAAGTCACGTGACTACAGTGAACTTCTGGCAGCTAGATGAACACACTGTATCAAGAGAGACTATTTGCACTTAAATATAATTTATTCAGTTTTTATTTGTGTGTGTGTGTGCTTTATTGTGTGTTGATTTAACTCTGTACTAATGCACCTGATGAGATACAGCAGAATGTGATTGTAAAAAAATGTTGCAATGTATTGTTTGTGTCCGCAATATTTAAATTCATTATGGGATATGATTGTTTTGAAATTTGTTTAATATAAGGAAATGTAAAAAAAAAAAAAATTACTGGTGTGTAATTGAAATTCTAGAAAATTTCTCATCTCATCTTGATCTTTTGCTACTATGAGGTGTTGAGGTGAGGTATAATTTAGGGGGAAGAACCCATTTATGTGCTTCATAAATTGGGATTCCCTCTGTCCGTCGCTTGCATGGTCAACCTCTTCTTCTCTTTCCACCTGGTTTGTACATCTTTGCTTGCTGTGGTATACTGTCTGGTGACATCTTCATTATATATCCAAACTATTTAACTTAAGGTCTTCTAATGAAATCCCAATCTGTTACTAGCCCCATTTTCCTACAAATTTCATGTTTTTGATCTTATCTCTTCTAATCATATTGAGAGCTCTCCACAGGAATCTCATTTGAGTTGTAATTTTTCTTTTCTCTTTTTTCTTTCATTGTCCAGGTCTGGCATTGATAACACAGGGTTGGCAAGAAGACTGTGTCATAGAGTGCTCTTTTGGTTTCTATTGATACATGTTTTTTTCTTAGTATTTTTGCCAATTGCCCAATGAGTTGGTGTGCTTTGTTACATTTGACATCAATCTCATCTTCTGTTTTGCCAGCTGATGATATTATGCTTCCTAAGTATTTGAAGTTTTTGGTATGTTTCACAGGGTGTTCTGTAAGCTTGATATTTATTGTTTTGTCTACTTTGGGTATGGTCATCTTCTCTGTTTTGTTGCAGTTAATTTTCATGTTATGCTGTTTGTAAATTTGGTTTAAATAATTTGTATGAAGATGTAGTACGTTTGTTCTGTTTCCTCGAGTGCTGAAAGTAATGTTTACAATTGTTTTAACAGATAATTACATTTTTATTTCTCAGATGTCACAGGCTGGAATATTATTGGCAACACTGGTAATATTGGACAGTTAAGGATCAACATGTTTGATAAATACACTGGAGTGGTCTGTCCTGTTGGCTTTCTGGACAAGGATGCTAATACCACTTGCTCCACTCTGAGACAGATGCATGGAGTAGTTCTGGGTTCACCAACTTTTTCACCAGATGAAAGTGAAATAGTTTGGTTTGGGAATATCACCTGTTCTTCATCCAGTGGATCACGTCGTTCTTGCACCTTCAACAAGAATATTTCAAGAGAATGCTTTTCTAGGAGTTCCTCCGTGGGACTTATCTGCTTTCGCAATAAAGGTTGGCTGGTTTTTGCATTTACTACTTCTAAAATGAAACAGACATTATTTATTTTAAAGCGGCAACTGATCTGAACAGAAAGATTTCAGATGTTTCTTGTGTCATAGGTAACATTATTAGCACTTATCGCTGATAGTTATTTTGAATTTACTAATTTGCTGATTTATGAATCGACATCATAGCAAATTGGGCATAACCATAGATGCTCTATCTCCTGCAGCAAATGTCTTAAGGTGGAGATGCTAACTGCTCCCGTGGCACGCTGATTATGCACAAGTCGTTCTCTTCCTCTCATCCATCCCTGCTTGCCGGATCCACACTTAATTCCTCATTCACATATTCTTGTACATGTTATTTCATCTAATCTCGTGTCTTCTGTTAACGGTCGTTTATATATGGTCTTCAGAATATCTCCCTTGTCAAGTACGAGTGTACCCATAGCTTTTGCTTTTGTAGCCAGAAAATCCACTCTTTCATTCCCTCACACTCCTGCATGTCTGGACACTTTATCCACGTGATTCCCTGCAATGTTGGCATACTGATGCATGGTATCCACTCATGCCACATGAGTCCATTTTGAACCTTCCGCAATGCCGACTGAGAATCAGACACAATAATTTCTCTGGTAAATTTGTTTTCTGCTATCCAATTCAGGGCTGCAGTGATTGCCTCCAATTCTATTCTCATGCTTGAAGTTGTAAATAAAAAAGCTCAATTTTGTTCTACCACAATTTTTCCCTCCCTAATTCTAGCTTTAAAAAAAACCTGCCAGATCTTACACCCCGATGACAGAACCATTGGTGTACAGTACTGCATCATCTAGCCCAGTGTTTCCATCTGTCAGTTGTTGTACCTGTAATTCTGTCATATCATTTCACCACTCTCTACATTCTCTTCCTAAAGTGATAATCACCTGAGGGAAACTGCTGTTGTGGGTGTTGGTGTTGACTCATTTCTGCCCCCTGTTTATTTGCTTGACAGATGCTGCCGTCTTGATGGTATCTTCAGCTAGTGTTGTCTATGACTTTCCTCTTTTCAACCGATCTCCTCTTAAATCGTTTAGGTGACCATGCAGTGGATGCCTTTCATCATTGGTAACTCGCATATAGGCCTTGGCTTGGGCCAGTCACAGTCTAGACTGTACCTATGTCAGCCCAAGCATATACCTCATTGTTCTAATTGGGGTAACTCGTGTGCAATCCAAGACAATTCTCATTCCTTCATTTTGAATCCTTTCAAGCTTTGTACACTGTGAAGTAGATAGGGTTAATATTCCTAGGCCATAATCGATTACAGAAAGGGCGAAATGGTTGAACAAAAAGACCAAAAATCTCTAGTTCCATATATGTTGCCACCATTGTCTTCAGTGCCACCAGGTCATGCTTTCATTTGATCACAGTCTGCTCCACATGATATTTGTAGGACAGACTGCGATCAAGCATCAAACCTAAGTATTTCAGCTTATCTCTTCTTTCAACATTAATACCCTTCATGGATATGTTGAGCAAGTCTTCCTTCCCAATGCTGTTACTCAAAGAGCACCACAAAACACTGGCCTTTTCTGGGTTTACCCTTGACCCTGTCTGTTCACACCGCTCCGTCATCTCATGCAAAGCACTTTGCAAGTCTGGTCATGTCGTGCCTGCTGACCCACTTCGATACATTAGGACATTATTTGCAAATGTCAAAGTTTGCCCTAGTCCAGCGAGCTGAATTTTTGCCAGATTTGCTGTATAAATGCTAAACAAGACAGGTGACAGTGTTGATCCCTGGGGAAGGCCAGGGCAGGTGCGTACTGGATCTGATCTCTGTGTTTCCAAACAAAACACCATTGTCTTTCTAACAATTCTGCCCCCATCCAATTAGCTAACCAAGCGTTCACACCACAGTCCATCACTCACTGCATAAGGTATGTTATTTTTAACCCACTTTGTAGTTATTATGTATGGTGCAGTGATAATTATACCAACATTTAAAAGAAAAAAGCCTGTCAGAAGTGAGCCTATGTAATGTATATAACTGCACTACAGGATGATGAATGATAATCAGATAAATCTTTCTGTCCTAGACAGTTGTTATGTAGCCTTTTTCTCCTTCAGAAGGTTTTTATGTTTATTAATTGTGTTAATGTATTTTAATCGAAGCATTTATTTCTGTACATTAACTACCAGGAAAGAAGGAGTTCAGTAAAGTATGTGACATTAATTACCCAGTGATGAGTGATAGGATGAGTGCCATAGAAAGAGTCAAGAAGGCATGCATTATAATGTTGAGCTCATGTCACATATGATGAATATTGCTGTACTCATGAAGAGCCAGTTAGAAAATAATAATTGGTAATATTAAAGTATTTGACTTTTCTGAGGACAAACAGTGTTAAAACACAAAGAAAATTTACAAACAAGGTCTACAAGCACAAAAGACATTTACAAACATGTAACCATATCGTAATTTGCTAATTAAGTGAAAATAAAATTCCAGATTATGTATTAGCTTTTTCATGAAATTAATAGTAATTTTTTTTTTTCAGTCCATAGACTTCAGAGTTAACTACAGTGTTTTTTTTAAATATTATTTATTCATTACCAAATCTTCCATTGTTGCTGTCAATTATTGTAAGAAGGAATAGCTAGTAGTCCAACACTCATTGGGTGGTACTGGCTATTATTATTCCATGCAAATGTATGCTGTCAGAGCATATTAAAACATCTGACTTCTACAGTGAGTTCTGCCAAAGTCGGCAGCCAGTTTGAAAGCAAAGCACAAATGAAAGTGACTATTCCTTTTTTGGGCAATTCTCTCGGGCTTCTGTTTGGATGGCACACTATGGTCAGAGGAAAGGCATGACAGACATACAGCCAAACTACGACCGGCATCATTAGTATTGAAACTCTTACGCTGGCTGCTGAGGATGGAGACAGAGCACACATAAGAATGCCCCAGGTGCTGTGATGTCAATTCTTAACTCAACTCAACTTCTGCCAGGCTAAAAAAAAAAAAGGGAAAATATACACTGATGAATTCAAAACCACTTGCGACTTTAAGAGTTAAGTGGATAACTTAGTTACATCTGAGTGGTTGCACAGTGAGTAATTATTTTTCTATACTGTGCCAAGGTTGCAATGGTTTTCCAAAAATTAAAGAAATTACAGTAAGAGATTGAAACTTTTTGGATTTATAACTTTGCAGAAACTCATAACTTTTCTGAACAATATATAATTGATTCCATATGATAGGTTCCATGTTGAATTCATTCCATCTGTGAAAAGTACTTCTTGTATTCCGTCTCAATAAAAATTCCCCAAAGAATGAAAATCCAGATCTAACTTTAGATAGACAGCTTGTTCTGCTGCTTTGGCTCATTTCAGAATTTAAAAAAAAAAAAATTCTGAGTCTTCTTCTTCGCATTCACCAGCTGTGAACTCCGGCGGAAAGTTCTGGTTGTTCGTCCACCTCTGGACTGCAGTCCTGTTCCAGAACCTGACTGTTGCGTGTGCATCCATTTGACAGATCTATATGCAGACTGTTGGTTCCTTGCCTCTCAGGCAGATGCACTCCGACTTCGAAGAAAGCTCCCAATTAGTCGACTTTTACGACATGCTTTTGGGTAGGCAGTGGGTCTATTCTTATTTTTCCCATAGTTGGGCCCCGGATCCCACACGGGGGAAAATTCTGAGTGAAGTGCCAAATGCACACAGGGTAGGATAAGAAGGGGATCCTGTATAATGGTCAAAAGTTTGAAGTACATAAACCAAGGAATAACACACAGACTAGCCCCAGAAGAATTCTTCTGCCAGATGGAGAAATAACAGTGCAAACTGCAAGCATGTAACTTGTCACACTCACTAGCTACCACCCATAGAAATTTGGGGATGGATATATCCATCATACCCATGGGATAGCTGGCCTCTACAGATATGCTCGACACACCCACTTGACAGGGAGGGTGATGATATATCATGTTGTCACTGGGACAGTCCCATTCTTTTAGGGGTGCCCCATCTGTCCTATCAGTATACACTCACCTCACACACAGACACACACACACACACACACACACACACACACACACACATAGGCACGCACACGCACGCACCTATACACATTTTAAAAACTACAATTGTCTCATTTTATATAAATCTGGGAAAAAGCTCTAGAATACTCTTTACATTTAAGTTATATCTGTAGACCTTACTAAATTTCATAGTTTAAATACTTTTCATGCCAGAAATATGTTGGAAATTTTCTTTGTAGGATGTTTTTTCAGTGTAGTTGAGGAGAATTGTGTCGTTGATTTCTTTGGAGACAATGGTTGGAGTTTTAATAGTACCATTGTCGAATGAGTAATTAACCCTTTTACCCAAGTGGCGTGGACAAAAAAAGGGTTGTTGTGGGGGGGAAAAAGAGGGTGGGAGGTGGTGTTGGTAGAGATAAACAGACTTTTTTTGGGATGTCCTATTTTCAGCTTTGAATATTAGTGGAATGTCCCATTTTCAGCTCAAGACATTATGGTCATCTTGTAACCAAGTTAATGTTATCAGTCCATCTTCTTCAATCATCTATTTGCTATCATACCAGCGGTGTTGGTAGATGATGTTGCTGCATTCTAATTAGATGCCTAACTATTTAACCTTTAGTGTCTTAATGCAGTGATTCCCAAACTGTGCGCCGTGGCACCTGGGGAGCCGTGACCTCTTCGAGTTTTTTTTTAATCTCTTACTTACGAATAGTCATACTTTTACTTAGATTAGGGCGCCTTGGAAAAAAATTTATTGAAGAAAAAGTGCCACGACTAAGAACAGTTTGAAGCACTGTCTTTATGTATTAAGACACTATTTTTAATAATGATTAATATTTTGTTTTGCTCTTGTTTGTGTAAGAAATATTACAAGAAAAGTTTAAAGTTTTACTGTTTCATTAAATGACTAAATTTAATGCTGCAAATGTAACCGGTGGAAATAAAAATTTTACTTGTGTAAAATTTTCAGGTGATTTTGGAATCCGCCTCATGGATCATGAATCAGAAATGAAATCTGCTGGTCGTGTAGAAATTTTTGTCAATGGTGTATGGGGAACTGTTTGCAATAAGGATGCTGATGCTCTTTCAGCAAGTATTTTGTGTCAGCAGAAAGGATTTATAGATGGCAGCACAGTGGCAGACATCCCAAAACGTTATGGAGACTCTACGGCTCCTATTTATCTTAAAAATGTCAACTGTACCAGTAAAGACAAATCATTTTTGGGTTGTGCAAATGACGGCTGGCAACAGGTTTCAAACTGCACTCACGATGATGATTTGGAGGTTTTGTGCTTCTCGAGAGGTATGTAAATTCTAAATTTCTTACAGTGATGCATTATTTTGTATAGCTAGTTTTGTATATATATTGTCAAATTTGGAGAAAAATGTAGCCACATCACTCTCATATTAGTCCTTTAAAAGCAAGGTGGCAGAGTAACTTAGAGGTTTAATGTCCATCTCTGTCTTGAGTAAGCCTGGTTTGATTCACAGTGTGGTTTAAAAAAGTTTACAAAATGAGATGGTACACTGCCTGTAATAAGTGGCTAATTTATTGAACAACTAGCCTTCTGGAATTTAAAAAACAAAAACAGATGTAAGGGTCTCTTTCCCACATCTTGAAGCATATTCAGTATCTAGTGCAAGCTTCATATTTGTAGAGACCAGGGGTGATGTAGTCAACAACAATGGGCTACCTGTACTTCACTTCTTCTTATTCTTTTTCTTCTCTTCCACCTTGTACCTCAGGAAAGTGTTGGGGGGGAAGATGTAACATTTGTTGATGAGCTCTGTCAAGAGCACTATTAAGACTGATGTTCCATTTCTGTAAGGCTGTTCTTAATGTCATCATTCTATATTTTCCTAGGTCTTCCACTCACTTTATACCCGTTGTAACGTTTTAGTGTGGCTCACTGTGGCAGATAGTACCAGGGCATTCTTTAAAATAAATTAACTATTCAAGTAGCAGAAGGTTTAGCAGAAATGCTCAGACCAAAATGTTTAGGCTCAGAACAGAACACAGTAAACTCTGAACACACCGACATCGAATGGGTCTTTCTAACTCTGCTGCACCTGGTTGCAGTTCACCTAAGCAAACTTCAAAGCATGTCTTTGTCAGAGAGAAGAAATCTGGCTCACGGGAGCATCCCTACAAGGTAAGCTATGGGGCACCAGAAGGGCCTCAAGTGCATTGTCCTGTTTAGGACCCATATTGGAATAGAAACACAGCAGTTGTTGCTTGCTGAAGTAGAAATGTATTACTACTGCAGATAATTTACATTTAAGATATATCGAACCTTACCTAAAATGTTGAAATGGTTATTATTTTTGCAAAGCAGTACTCTTTAATTCATGCCAGGAGTACTTGATTGGTCCTAAAATGAAATTTTTTTCAACTCATTCAGCACTAAGCAATTACTTGAATCTCCTCGTATCCCAGGGAGCTGAGTTTAAAGTGACTAATTCTTAGGTCTGAATGAGTTTCAACAGAGACACTCTGGGACAGAAGTAGTTAAACTAATAATTTAGAGGCAAAGAGTTTATATAACATCTGTCTGTGAGAGAAAACTCAAGAATTTCATACAATCTTTGAAATAACCAGAAAACATAAGGTGAGATAGTTTTTTTTTTTTTTTTTTCAATTCTGACACAGTAAATAACACAATTTTGAATATGTGAAATTGCTACTGTATTTGTGTTTTCTCCTCTAGAGCGGTTTTATCCAGATCCAGAAAGACATTACGGTGCTGTGTCTGTTATGAACAGAGGTGTATACCAGCTTGTTTGTTCAGACAACTTCACAGACACGGAAGCAACAACCTTTTGTCGCGCACTTGGATATCTAATGGGGAAATCTATTTGCTGCTCAGCACTGAATGAGCCTGGAATGGTGAGAAAATACTGTCAAGATCTCATCTCTATGATACTTGATTTTACAAATTATACTTCACTTAAATGTCTCAGTTACATTTATTATGTTCAGTGGAAAATGTTATTACACACAACACACTGTTCTAATACTCTCACTTAATTTATACATTTGTCAGAAAAGGTAAAAAGTAAAAAGTAAAGGACCCTTTTCCACGTCTTTATGCTTATAGGGCATATAGGGCTAGACCTATATTTTTATAGACCAACAGCACAAGATGGGTGATGTGGTCAGCATCACGCCGGCCACCTCTACTTCCCGGAACTGCACGCGGTACCCACTCAAGGCTGGGTCGACCTGGAAGCCAAGGTCATTTTTTAAGAGAAGTCCGACTCTGCCACGGAGCGAACCCACAACCTTCTGATCCACGGCGCACGTCTAGCCGCTCTGCCACGGCGACTTCCTCAGAAGAATTGGAATATTAAAATTAGTGGCATGCACGAAAGTACTAGGTCTGTGAAAAAGCAAAACTAAATCTGAAAAATGTATATGGTAAACTTGAAAAGCTGAACCAAATATATATATATATACATATATATATATATACACACATGTGTGTGTGTGTGTGTGTGTGTATATATAATATATATAAAACATAAGTAAAGTATGTAAAGGACCCTTTTCCACGCCTTTAGGCGTATAGGGCATAAAGGGGTAGACCTAAATTTTATAGACCAATCGGCACAAGATGGGTGATGTGGTCAGTGTCACGCCGGCTGCCTTTACTTCCTGGGACTGCCCCCGGCACCTTCTCGAGGCTGGGTCGACCTGGAAGCCGAGGTCATTTTTTGAAAAAGTCCGGCTCCGCCGGGGAGCAAACCCACGATTTTTCGATCCGCATCTAGCCACTCCACCACAGCGATCCCATATATAACATAATCTTCACTAAAATAGAAGCAGAATAGATTAGAGCAGAGCTATTTAACAAAGTTTACCTGAAGCCAAAATGATCAAAATGGGGATCAACATGGGCCAGAGTCTCAAACTCCAGCCTAGAATAATCAGTAATACAATAAACTATCAAAGATCAGTGGGCTACTTGCTAGGCCTGTGCAGACAAGATTCAATATAATTTACCAGTTGAATACCCTGGATTAGAGAGTCATCATCACCAGTGTTGGAACTGTAGTAGAGCAGTTGCTTGCCTGCTAGCCTAAAGAGATTGTGTTTGAATCCATATAAGGGTGTATTTTTTTCTAATGACCTTGATTCCCAAGCTGATCTAGTCTAAAATAAGTAGCAGACAATATCTTGAGACGTAGAGGGGACCAGCAAGATATTAATTTAAAATCACCCATTGAATGCCAGTTACTTCTTTAAGAATACAGGTCTATCATCAGTTGCCTGTTGCACTACTACAACAACAATGGTTTTTTAATATTTTTGTGTGTGGAGATTCATCAGTGTTAGGCAAGGCAGCTGAAAAAGAAAGTACCTACTTTCTGAATCAGTTTATTCTACAAAGACCCGAGTATACGTTGTGTAATACAGTAGAACCTCAATTATCTAGCTCTTGATTATCCAAGCTCTGTATTATCTGGCCTAGTTTTTTTTAAAAATATCAGTAATCAAAAGGAATAATTTACTTTGCCCAATCATTGCAAGTGTGCATAAGACAAGCTGAGAAATCAAAGGGTTGATTCTCCCTTCCCACCCAGCTATCTAACTCTCTTCACTTCGTCAGTTGTGTATCAGATTTCAACAGTGCAGAATATATTTGCTACTGGTTTTTTAATCAGATTCAAGTTTTGTGTTCTTTATTGTTTTGTTAAATTAAATAAAATGAAAAGGATGATAAATTTAAAAAAAAAAATTGTGTTGACTGTGGAGAAGAAACTACACACTGAAATGCGACTGAACTCTGGGGTTATGGCAGAAGTAACTGCTTTGGAGTTAGGAGTGGGGAAAAGCACAGTTTGAGAACTCTACATACAACTTCAAAAAGAACCGTGGCCTCAAGAGCAAAGTGTGCATAGCAAGCTATGGGGAACCATGAAGAAACTGCTGCTGACTTGTGAGTTCACAGAGGCAACCCACCTGCTCGTCTGATCTGAGCATACGAAACCGAACGCAAATAAGAAGAAATATTAGAAGTTTGGTCATTAGTAATGTATCTGCATTTTTTTTTAACCTTTATTATAGAGAAACAGATTTTTTTTTTTTGACATTGATAATTTTCTTGTCTCTTATTAGCACACCAATCAAAACCTTTTGCTTTCTCTTGTACTTACAATTTTTAATAATATTTCTGTTCATAGAGAATAGGTTTGAGCCGTGTCCTTTGTCGAGGCAATGAAAACTCATTGCTTGAATGCAGTAATGTTTTAAGTGGAAGCAGCTACTTCTGTCCTTCACAGCAGTTTGCTTCTGCTGTTTGTTTTAATGAGGTCAACAATGGTAAGGATTTTTAAATCTAATTTTAGCATAATTGGATAATATGTTTGTCGTAATTATTGATTTCAAACAAGCAAATTATAATCGGTTAGCGGGGTAGGGGTATCCCCTATCAAAGGAGAAGTAAGACGCCTCCTTTCCTCCGCTAGTCTACGGGACACCCTTGGGCAAGGTGGAGTACCCGTTTAGCCCCCCAATCAGGGTTACGTGAAGCCATGGAAGCAGGTGGTGGATGGAGTGTAAGAGCAGCCGACAGGTATTGTTGGTTATGGTCTGCACTCTGCGGCGATAGGCAGATGATCTCATCAGTAGAGACAATGGCTATGGCCACCGACTAGTATAGTCACTGCTCAGGAGGAAAGCAACGGCAAACTACCTTCTGCAAATTTTGCCAAGAACCCATAACAATCATGAAAGAAAACATAACACAGAAGAGATTTGGTGACGAGACCCCCAGGCCAGGCAGATCAGATAACACTGGGGAAGAGTGTGATACAGGGGTCAGTACTAGTAATCGTGATGTATGGAATTGTACAGATAGAATTACAAAGGTCAGATTTTTAAGAGCATGCATCTTTCCCATTGCAACATACGCCTGTGAGACCTGGACACTTACTAAACAAGCGGAACAGCGCATAAATGCATTTGAATATAAATGTTACAGACAGGTTCTAAGAATATCTTGGGTAAAGAAAAGAACAAATGCATCCATACTTCAAGAGCTGAATATTGAAGAGGGTTGGCTAGTAAAGACAATAAAACAAAGAAAATTGAAATATTTTGGTCACTTGAAACGTCATGGAGGTCTAGAGAGAACAATAATGGAGGGGTATATGCCTGGGAAGAGAGGAAGAGGAAGGCCAAGGAGAAGATGGGTGCAGGATGTGGCAGATGATCTCCAGATGGGTGTATCAGACGCAGGACATCTTGCTCATGATAGGAAGGTTTTCCGGAGGGTTGTTATGGCAGCGAGGTTCCGCGAGGGACATGCTACTGAATGAATGAATGAAATTATAATCATCATGTGTCATATGTAGGTGGTCATAGTTCACCAGTTCAGTTATCCATCTTGGATCTGGTTTGTTTTTGTAACACTAATGCCACACGGACAGATCTTTTATATTTATTTTTGTCTTTTCATTTTCCAAATTGTTTGTCCTTTTTTTTCCCTCTTAGTTAAGTTTGACAAGTGTTAAGTTTTAGAGTTTATTGCTACTCATAAAACTTGACTGTCTACATCCAACCTATACAGCTAATGTACAGTTTTCATCTTCTGTTGCTTGGAGGCTAGTGAATTCATTATACAACTCTTATATATAGACATATAGTCAGACTGCTACTGATACCATTGGTATCAGAACTTTGCACTGGCACTAGATAGGGATGGAGCACCAGAGGGAATTTGTTTTTGCCTGCTTTATTTAAATACTTACAAATGCCTTTTATGATAAGATATGATCACACCCAGCCAACAGTGTTGAGGGCAGCTAACTCTCCTCGGAGGGTGACAAGTGAAAATGTGTAGCCTGCTGCTGATCACACATGCCAACACTGCCTTCCCATGGTGCAGATCTGTGAGGATTGAGGAAACAACCACGTAAAGAGGACTGGAGCTCACCAGGGTTGAAATACTGCCTGAGATGCACCATGTTATTGCAGATACCAAGTGCATTGCATCTTCTTCTTTCTCTCAGCATTCACAGGCTGTAAACTCTGTTGGCAAGCTCTGGTCATTCGTCTACTACCGGACTTTCCCCCTGATCCAAAATTTGTGTTTTGCATGCAGGTAAATTATACAGATCTGGCTTATTTGTTTGCAGACTGTTGGTTCCTCGACCCTCAGGCAGATGCACTCCAACTTTAGAGGAAACACCCCTAATTAGTTACCTCCAAACAGAGATGGAGGTCACTTTAAGCATTTGTAGGACTGCATTTACATTATCTCCCCATCATCTTCTCGGTAATCACAAGAATATTAATTAAAGCACTTAATCAGAAAAATTTCTTAATTATTTTTGCCTGTTTTCTACTTTTAGATTTCTCAGTTACAGTAGAGAATGGAAACAACGGTCGGATTTTAATCACCCATTACAGTGCGAACGGCACCGTATGTGCTGACAACTTTCACAATCAGGATGCGCAGGTTGCATGTCGCCAGGCTGGCTTTAGCACTGGTCTGGCCTTTAGTGCACAACTTCAGCCTAACACATATCTCATGTCATGGGCATCAAATTTACAATGTGTTGGCTCAGAAAACTCATTGAAAGACTGCCCCAAGTTTTCCTTAGGCAACACAAGCTACTGCACGTCAGTTGCCAGCGTTGTTTGCCTTAGATCAAATGGTGAGTTGGATTAAAAATTAAATATCCATGGTTTTTTTTCACTTTAAAAAACTTTTCTTTTCTGAGAAACTGCTCATGTGAAGAACATTTTAGTTTTATTTGAAATGCAAAAATTTAAATTAGTATCTGAAACATTTATTTTAAACAGCCTTTCTATTAGTATCTTAAACATTCATTAGAGCTAACATTTTTTGTTAAGTATATTGTTTATGCAAACTACTGGACATAAATTTGCCTAGAAAAACCACACAACGGCCAGGGGCTGTTGGGGTTGGTTCTGCAACGTCCTGTAAAGGATATGCTACCTTATTTTGTTTGTGATTTTCATTTGTAGAGATGTTTATCTTAATTTTTCACTTATATAAACTATTTTATTAAATACTATAGATGATAGTGAAATCCGGCTTCGACTGGCAAATGGGAGCAGCAATTATCTTGGCCGTGTTGAAGTTCAAATCAATGGCACATGGGGATCAATATGTTTTGATGGCATGATGAGAGAAAGTTCTTTTGCAGCAAAGGTTATTTGCAAAGACCTCGGGTTCAGGTTAGTAAAAATTTATTCTTAAGAAACAGTTTTCTTTTCTGCAACTCTGTTTAGTTGTTATTTGCAAAGATCTGAAACTCAAGTTAGTAAGATATTATTCCTTATAAAATAGTGGTTTTTTTTTTCTCTGCAACTCCTATTAGTTTGGTTATTTAGCTTTCTTGTTTAGTTTTTGCTTGTCAAGATGTATGCATTTTTAAAAAAAATCAATACTATTCGTTTTTGAATACCTTGTTTTGAATTTTAGAGTAAAAAATAAACATCATGGAACAGAAAAACAAATTAACATGATTTCTTTTTTCTTTCTTTTGTTTTTTAATCTTCTGCTTTTTTTTTTTAAATCTCACCAAGACAATACTTTATTACTGACTGTCTTTACTGTCGGTATGTACCACTTTTTAGAGTGGTGTAGAGTAAGAGTAGAGTGTGTAGAAAATCTTGAGCCTGAGGGTTTAGGGCTGGGTTGCTACTGCAGCCGCCCATTCTCTGCAGGTTAGGATTTAATTTTCTTTTGCATACTTTTGTTCTCTTGTTTTTATTCTCTGCTTGATTTAATAAATTGTAGCTATAATTAAAATAGATTGTGTATTTGAGCCTGCTATAAATGTGCCGCTGGTGCATCGAAAATATGGTGCTAGACTCATGTTTTCAAAGACCAACTGGTGCTTGAAATTCCAAATCTCAATAGTCCTTTAATGTTCCGGTTTCTTTGTCTATTTAAATCACTCCTAAATTGAGGCTAAGATATTTATTTCATATCGAAAAGGAAAGATGCAAACAACATGGAATGAACAGTGAGAAGCAAGAACAAAATTCATAATCCATTTAAATCACCATTGCTCGCTAGCATCTTGAGAACTAATAGACTAAAATAGCTAGGGCATATTGAGATAATGTCAGATGACAGAGAGGCTAAAAACTGTATACAAAAGGGAGCTGAATGATCGTAAACCACAAGTAAGACCAAGAAGATGATGGAGTGATAGATAATATCCAGACAGACCTACAAACACTTGGTGTCACCAACTGGAAAGAGAATTCCAACCAGAGAGATAAATGGAGGCAGGTGATGTCTGCAGCAATGAACCTCAAGGGTTCGGAATGCCGAAGAAGAAGGAGAACTGACACTTGATGGATGATGCGGTCAACATCATAACGCCAGCCTTTACTTCCTTTCACTCCCTGTATGGGTTTTGGGACCCCATTGTGGGAAAACAATAAACCCACTGTCTCCCCAACAGACATGTCATGGGAGTCTACTAATTAGGAACGTCCTTCAAAGTACATCTGCCTGAGAGGCAAGGAATCAAAAGTCTGCATACAGGTAAGCCAGATATCTGAAACGGATGTGCATGCAATACTCAGATTCTGAAATAAGACTAAAGTCCAGAAGTGGACGGATACCCTAACTTTCCACTGGAGTCTACAGCCAGTAAATGTGAAGAAGAAAAGGAAAAGTTCCTTTCACATTTATCCTGGCACTCATTTTTGGCTGAGAATTGGCAGAGCAAGTCATTTATTATAAAAAATCTACCATGAAGTGGAATCACACCTACTAGCCCTTAGGGCCAGCACACAAGCATCTAGCCAATGTGCTACTATGGCTCCCTGAGGGCTACTATACATTGTATAATTACATTTTATATAAATGAATTTTGAATGCAGTGATTGTAACAGACTCACCTAGCATGTTGAAAATGTTGGAGATAGGTATACTGCATGCAGAGTAGCAACATTGTTTCAGGGGTCCCAGGTAGTTAGCATCCTTTGGATATTTTCTTTAGGGGATACATGTGTGTTGGAAAATAATTTGACAGATAGACTAGTTGGTTCTGCATCACTGGTGATAAATGGATGTATGACAAGCTAGATGTTGTAAGAGCCCTTTTGGAGTGAGTAAACAGTTCACAGGCACAAATAGTTTCTCATGGTCTGAAGAGAATGATGCAGCGAGGAGTGACAAGGGAACCTAGCTGATGCTCAACAATCAGGGGAGGGGTAAGATCAACATACAATCAGACTTTCACTGTTTCCATCAGAATTGGAACTCTGAGCTTCTTGCTGAAGATGGGGATGAAGTGCTTATGGGAATGCTCAGAGTGCTATGATGTCTGATAACTTTATGAATTTGACAGTTCCTCTTTGTTTTTGTTTAAGCTGGGCACATCTCTAGGAGGGATGGAGAAAGTCGTGAGGATAGGCACTGCAGTTGGAAATAAATGGATTGAGGAAATGAGAACATCAAAAATCAACATTGATGAGAGTGGCCAAAGGGTTGGACTGTATTTCATCAATGATATTTAAAAAATTAACAACAACAAAACGAAAAACAAAACTGCAGAGGATAGAGTGGAATGAAAGAAGTGATTGTGATCCTTCTGTGTCACAGCATAATGACTGTCTGTAGACTGGTATATCTTTCATCACTGTGGAGAAGCTTCAAGATTCAGGAAAATGTATGTCTAGTATATGTGAATTCTATAATATAATGATCTTGATGTTTAATATTCAACAGCTTATGGCAGAATACTTATGGTGCTGCTTTCCCTTTCACTGTTGACTATTATTATGTTTGTTTGCAGAGAACATCTTGATATTTAGATTTTCTTCTTTATTTGTATAACAAATTCAACTGGGGGTGAGTGGAGGTTCTGGAAGACATTCAACACTGATGGGGAAAACATAGGAGGACTTTAATCAGGTTGCAATTGGTACTATTAGCATGTCAACTGTTTGTTGGCTAGTGAAGAAGGGGACGGAGCACATGTGAGAATGTCACAAGTTTAGTAATTTCAATTCTTGATTCGTTCATTCATTCATTCACTCATCTGTGTAGTAGTGTTATAGATCATGTTTTATGTAAATGCAAAAAAGAACCATTCTGCTTTCCTCAACAGAGATGGCCAGTTTTTAGCAGCAGGTAGTTTTGGCGCCAGCTCAGGTCCAACCTGGCTTCAAAGTGTAAACTGTAATGGATCTGAGTCAAAACTGAAAGAATGTCAGCTGGAAAGAGCAGGAGAGCAACCAGACTGTTTATCTCATTTATATGATACAGTAGTGGAGTGTTTTGCAACTGGTATGTCTCAATCAATTTAATTTTCTTTTATTTCTGTATCCTTTAGTAGATTGCCCTCCAAATAGAAAAAGTCTTATTGGAGTCCATCATCCCATATCACTAGGTGTTGTTGGGTCACCAGTTACTGTTGACTATCTGATCAGCTTCTTCCACCTTTGATGGTCAGATGTGATGGACTTCATGCTAGCATGCCTGTCCAATCAGTCCAGTTCCAAATCCAGGTCTTTCTTGGTCTGCCTCCCCTCCTCCTCCTCCCCTTTACTGAGCCCTGCGGTATTTATTTTATTACCTGTCCGTACCATTGCATTTTTTGCCTTTTCATTGTAGTTAAAAGAGGTTCAAATCTGCCAATGAGCTGGGTAATTAAATGGCCAGCTTCGTCATTTGTGCCAAATTTTTCAAGAAAATTAAAAGCTAGGTGAATGTACCTAAGATCTGGAAAGAAACATAAATTGTCAATAAACAAGTTAAGTAACAAAGTAAAGGACCCTTTTCCTGTCTGTGGTGCATAAGCTATATGATGCTCAACTGATATTTTTATAAACCTGATGGCACCCAAAGGAGAATGTGGTCGGCATCACACTATCCATTTTTACTTACCAGAAGTTTACTTCCCAGGTACTTGTAAAAGTAATGGACTCTTATTTAGTCTTTGAAGAAGAAAAATTTGAGCTTTAACTCTTTGAGTCCCAGGGGGTTTAGCATCACAGGCCCAAGGGTAGTCAAGCAAGACGTAAAATTAGTACATCATGCTTTTATTGGGCCTCTAGGTAGGAATCTATGAACGCATGATGCGTTCCTTGGGACTCAAAGAGTTAAACTGAAATGCTAGAGAATAATTCTTAGAATACTTTGGACCAAGAAGAAGATAAACACTGATATCCTACCAAATTTTTCCTCTAGACTACCCTCTCCTGGCTATCTTATTTCTTGAATTGCTGTTATATCCATTCTGTGTTCTGATAACTCATGGGTCAGTTCTTCAGCTACTTCATCTCTATAAAGGGTTTGTACATTCTGTGTTAAAAATCTCAAATGTCCTTTAACATTCCAGTTTCATTGTCCATTTAGATCCATCGGAAACCAAGGCTTAGATATCTGTTTCGTGACAAGATGATGTTTTACGAAGGTGGGGGTGTCGGGCCCACACTTCAACCCCCAGCCTGGAGGACCAGGGTGTCTCTCTTTGTCTGTTCTCTACCCTTCGACATTTCCGGCTTGGGAGGCCTTGCTGGTAGCTGCACTACCGCCAGCAACTAATAACTTGAAATGGCTGGAGCATACTGAAAGAATGTCAGATGACAGAGAGGTAAAAACTGTATACAAAAGGGAGTTGAATGGCCGTAGACCACGAGCGAGGCAGACCAGGAAGAATATGGAAAGATAATGTCCAGAGAGATCTGCAGACACTTGGTTTTACCAACTGGAAAGAGAAGGCCAACCAGAGAGATGATTGGAGGCAGGTGATATCTGCAGCAATGAACCTCAAGGGCTTGGAATGCTGAAGAAGAAGAAGTAGAAGAATCTTACAGAATTTTAACATTGAGGAGAATTAGCTCATAAACAGCATCCTCTCCCAAAGGTGGAGGTATTTAGCCACGTTAAACATCTTGGTGGCTTGAAGAGAACGGTGATGAAGAGTGCAGTTTCTGGAAAAGGAGGCAGAGGCCAACATCCACAAAAATAGATAAAGACAGGGAAGATACATTTGCTAAAAAGCGCATAGGGCTAGAGAAATGTCTAGAGAAAGAGAGACTTTTAGGCATGCCATAAAGAGAGTGACATTTTGTGCAGGACATACAGATGTTGATGATGATGATAGGTTTTTAAAACTGGTCAGCTTGGGAGCCATGGTCATTTTTTGTTTATTAAATACTTTGAGTCTGGAGTCTTTTTAGTTGCACTCTACGTTTTAGAGCTATATAGCACAATCAGTCTAATTAGTGTTTTATATTTTAATTTTTTGGTGTCACAAGGTAGAGCATTTAATTCTAGCAGATGTTGTAGGGGATTGTGTATCTTATTTCTGGATTGTATAAATAGGATACAACTAATTATTGTAAAACTCACAAACAATATTTTATCATGAGTCCTGTCCTTTCTGCAGCACGACTGATCGGTGGTCAAATAGATGATCATTCCAGAGGCCAACTTCAGGTATACGATAAAGACAATAATCTGTGGCAATATGTTTGTGATACTGGGCTCACCGACAGAGAAGCCACCCTTGTCTGCAAAGGTCTAGGCTACCAGTTCGGTATGCAACAGTGTTGCAGTGCTGCAGGACCCGGCATCAGCAGTGGAAATTTTGTCACATCAATCAGCTGTCCCTCTTCTGCAACTGATATCAATAATTGCACTTTTGTTACAAATGGAGAATGCACCAGTCATCATTATGCATATGTGCACTGCAGAAATTCTGCATTTACAAATGAAAGTAAGTGCTTTTTTGTTGGAAAGAAATTTAAAATCTTATGCAATATTTGTTCTCATCAATTTTTTTTTTAATGTGTGAAAGTTTAACATGTTAATATTTTTATTTGTGTGACTGCATGAATGTGTGTATGTTTATTAGTCAGTTTGTCAGTCCCTGTGCCTCTCTGTCTGCCCATTGTTTATGCATGCATAATTGTTAATTTCTTATGTGTACAAATGTGCATTTTGTTATAACTGTTTTACTGATCCATTCTTGATATCATTATTTCTTGCATATAGACAATCTCTCACTTTATTCTGTTTCACTCGCTCTCTCCCATGCACAACAAACACAAATACAATATATATATATATATATATAGTATATATATATATATATATTTATATATATATATATATATATATATATATATTATAATGGACACATGTAATATATACGTAATGGACATTTGTTCTTACAATATGTAGAAAAGGTAATAACAAAATGTTACCAATATGTCTTATCTACTTCCAAGCACCTTTACCTGTCATGCTTAAGGGCAGCCTTTAGCCTTTGAGGTAAGGCCATGGGACTGCTGAAGATCAGACTCATATATAGACTGTTTGCTGCAAAAATGGTTTGTGTATTTGTGCTCATGTGCCGAAAATTGTAACAAAATTAAAAATCTAATGTAATAGCAATATAATCTAGCAAAACATAAAAGCTATGTAGGAGGTATGTTTACGTTTAATGTCAAGTGTGAATTAATGGCTGCTATTTTTAATTTGATATTTCCTAGGTCTGACAACAACACTTTTGGCTAAATTCATAGACATCCCAATTGTAAAACGCTTTGGTGTTACTGGGAATGTTTGTAATGAGGGGCTGACTGATAAGGAAGCCCGTGTTATGTGTCGAGAAGTTGGATATTTTTCTGGTATGCTGCTTCAGCCAGTTTATCTCCGATCTGGTAGTGTGATTATGTTGAAAGGGCTAAACTGCACAGGCTCTGAGGACCGTATTAGAGACTGCTATTATCCCAGCGTATCGCAAGCAGGGACTTGTTCAGATGGACGTATTGCCAGGATTTTGTGCCGTCAGACTAACAGTATGTATTTTATGTTTTTGTTTGCCTTTTTTTTTTTAAATGAAGAAATTAATTTAGTGTGTACTGGGTTTCAATTTTAAAAATGCAAGTATACTGTTTTTAAAAAAAACATTCAGTCATTCGATGGCGCCTTTTTATTGATTTATAGGAACACCTGCATGCCTAAATACTATCAATAATCCAGGTGCACAATAACTGTCAATTAGTTTGTTGAATACTAAGATATTCTTTTTTGCAACTTGAACAATTTCATTCATTAAATTACAAAGATTTTGAATGTCAAAATTATGTTTGTTTCAATAGCTATGCCTTACATTTTTTTCTTCAAATAATTTATAAGTTCGTTACTCAAATCATTAAATTTGATAAGTGACACATGGTGTATGGGATCTGCAGTAGTACAGTAGCTAGCACTCTTGCCTTCCAGCTGAGTGTTTGTGTGTTTAAATTTGTTAAGGAAGTAAAGGCGACCGACTTGATATGGACTTCATAGACAATATTGTAGTGTTGCAGGTTGAGGCATCAGCAGCAAAGAGTTTGTAACATCAATCAGCTATCCCTCTGCATCTGTTAGAGAATACACCAGTCAATATTGTGCTTATGTGCGTTGTAGTCAGTGATGATACTGAAGGCTGATGGGTCTGTACAAATGATTGGTGGGGACCATATGCCCACTGCAGCTCAAATATTAGTCCTTTTAAGAAAAAAGAGTTATGGGTTTTGAAGAGCTGTTGAAAGGAAGATTGAGGAGGATTTATGACAGTTAACTGCAGGATCAAATTATAACATTCATTGTAGCCCTGAGGTACTTGGATCTGCTTCACTCAGGATGGCTTAGATGCCAGATTTGGAAGTTTCAACATAGTTGGCTACAGAATAGTGAGTAGTATATGGAAGGCTTGTAACTTCCATTGAGTGAAGTATAAAGAAGGCATGTAACTTTCACAGAGGGATTGATTGATTTGATTTGTATGTAGAAAGCTTGTTAACTTAGAGGTAATAAATGTTGAAAACAATTTTTTGGTTTAAAGAAAAGTATTTAGAGACGGTATCTTTGGGTTCATGTCTGTGTACTAGAAACAAAGCCTAAGGGGGATACGTATTAAAGGGAAGGGGAGAGACACTATAAAGAATAACATAAAAATCTACTCCTTGAACCTATCTCTACTCCAAACCTACAAGGGCTCTAACGATGTCATGGCTAATGGAAGCCAATCCGCACTTATGCTGCTGTAACAAGAAAAAAGTGAAAAAAGTTCTTTAGGCGGGAGCTAAGACCACATTAACCCAGACAGGAAATATTCTGTATAAAGTCTAATCAGTAGAATCAGTAAAACTAAGCACACTAACCACAAGTCCTAATCTGAATCAAAACAACTGGAATTATAATGATCACATTTAACATCTGTTAATTAACTGAATATAAAACCAATGTTGCTTCACAGATAATAATGAATTCAAAATTCACCTCATGTCCACACACCTCATGCTAAGCACTTCATCTGGCAAAGTTTAAAATCTGCTTTTAGCGACATAAAATCAAATATCTCTGAGCGATGTTACACACTGATTTATCTAGCTCTACACAGTTTAATTGTTAGAGAAATTTTCAGTTTAATTTAGATGAAAATGGATATCTAACCATAGACACACTATCGTCATAAAATTAATCAGTCTACCATCACTCGATTGCCCAACCCATGCTGCTATGCTCATGTGCGTGCAGTCGCTGCTGGGTGTGAGCACCTGTCTCCAGGTGACCAGCGCTGCCAGAATGTGGAAAGCTAAATAGAGCCCATTTTCCAGGTGCATTGGCTTTTTATGAAGTCTTGATCTCCTGCGTGCCAGATTTTTCCCGTAAGTGGAGCTAGACAAATAAATCATGACCTGCATTGGAAACTCGGTTGCATCTACATGAAAATGCAAACAGAAATAGAGGAGCAGGAGTGTATGTTGAGCATCCAAATAATGCCAAATATACAGCCAAACTACACAAAATAAAGCAATATCACATCTATGATGCAGAAGTTCAAACCATCAAAATGGCAGCAGAGAAACTGCTAAATATATGTCATATTTCACAACTAGTGGTATTTCTGACAGATACAAGAGCAGTACTTCAGGTGCTACAATTTGGAATATTGCCTGGTATATGGACACTACTCTCCAAACTAGGCAGTCGGCGTAAGATAACTATGCAGTGGATACTATCCCACTGTGCAGTTCCTGGAAATGAGAGAGCTGATAAAATAGCTAAGCAGGTGCAAATGTAGAACACTCTGACATAAAGGTCTCTTATCAACAAAAGAAGAGAATAATCAAATCAATCAGAAAGCCAAAACTGACAGAAGACGATTACCATATTATTAATAGACCAGAGCAAGTCATTATTCTACGCCTTAGAAAAGGACACAGTCAACTTGGCAGCCACATGTACACAAAATGTAAGATTGGGGGAATCAGCCCAATGCACAGATACCTTAGACAACAGATTACGTCTCCAAGACTGACCCAAATACAAAATTTCCAGGCGAAACCTCCCGCCAAGAGAAACAGCAGTGCAAGCCAAAGTTTACAGGTTGCTGAGTGAATTATAAAAGACAGTGAAGTTTATACTGGAGACAACATTGCGTGTATAAATTACCTATTTCAAGCGAAGGATAGAAGAAGGTGAAGAAGAAGAAGAAGTAGAAGAAGAAGAAGAAAAGTAATGTTTTGTAATCTATATTCAACTATGTTGAAAGAAATGTTTAAATAATTAGATTTTTTAATGTCAATAAAAATTATTGAAACCTTGTTCTTCTCAGGTGCTGTTAATTTCACCATCAGTACTGATGCCAGCCTTAACTCAGGTCGTGCTGAAATTCGCATAGATGGGCGTACCATGGTTGTGGAAGACAGTGGAATAGACACATCAGAAGCATCAGTTTTCTGCCGCAGCATATTGAATAAGAAATATGTTTATGGTGATGTGTTTCTGCATCCGCAGACTGGAGGAGATGAAAATCTTGAAGTTCTTATGAGCAATGTACACTGCCTGGGGGATGAGGAAAATATATTGCTCTGTGATGCAGAGTTCTTGCCTACAAGAACAACAAATCCAATAGCATATGTTGAATGCTACAGTGGAGGTAATTCCTAGTATTACATTTATAGTAGTGCAGATTTTAGCCATTGTGGTCATCATCATTATCGTCATCATCATCTAAGTTGGCTCATCATGTTACTGCACTGTTCCCTATTTCCAAAATTCCCTCTTCAGCTCTGTGTGTGTCTTGCTACAGTCTCTAATTCCCAACACTTTTTTCAGCCCTCTCTGTCTCTTTCTCTGTCTCTCTTTCTCTCTCTCACTCTCTCTCTCCCCCTCTCTCCCCCCCCCCCTCTCTCTCTCTCTCTCTCTCAATGAATAGGCTTTGTCAGTGTCCCTGTCTGTCTTTATTTCTCTCTTTCTATTTTTTCTTAATTGCTACTATTCCCAATACCAACAATCCCCTTCAGCTCTGTGTGTGTAATTGTGTGTGTGCATGCATGTATGTGCGTGCGCATGTGTGTTTGTTTATGTGCACGTGACTAAAACAAGTCTAGTTCACTACTTTCTCCATCTAACTTTAGATAAATATGATAAACACATATTTTTTTTTTAATGTAAAGCCATAAATTATGTTGGCATGCTTGTAGAAGACTGCTCGGCAGCCTTTATATTTTCAGACACTTAGTAACTTTATTAATCTCTCAAAATTATGTTTCCTAATAAACCTCATGGCAACACATTTCTTATTGAATACAAAGAACTAGATTAGTAATTGGATGGTTTGCATTTTTATACTGGTCAGTGGTAAATCTAAAATCTTTAGGTATCTCATGCAGTCTTTTGGACTAAAAAAGTGAATTATTTGTTTGTTCATTTCATAATTATTTCAAATATATTATTATATGTTGGCCATTCAACATAAAATTAATATTATTACTGCTCACTTTAACAAGGATCAACTTCCTTGAGCTCCCTTTCCTTTGAAACTGTAAGGGGAGCTAAGGCCCCCCCCCCCCCCACACCTTTCGTGTGTGTGTGTGTGTGTGCAGAGTTTTGGTGTCTGCACGCCTCCTCTGTTCAACTGGATATTTACTTGTTGTTTCTTCTTCCAGATCTTGCCTGAGGGTCTCTGACTTAATGAATTTCTCTACTGTCCTGATGTTGCTTGCAGTGCTGCAAACAATACTTTCAGCTGATAATGGACTGAGATGTTTTATTTTTGTCTCCAGCTGAGCCTGTCATCTACTTCGCTTCAGCTGTGTTTATCACTATGGTTTTATAGATATTCACAGGAAGTTAATGTTATTGTCTCTTTATGACCATCATTTTAAAAACTTTTTTGTTTTATGTTATTACATCAGATTCTTTTTCTGCAACTTTACCTCAGTGGAGCACAGGCCCTCGGCCAACTCAGGTGAAGTCTGCTTATCCTTTGCTATTGCAAAAGAATTTCTTTTCATATCTCAGAAGCTCAACATTAGTGACTAACATTTAACTCCCTCTATTTTATGCAGGCACCAGTTAATGCATGTTTGTAGTTTATTTGAAATGTTTGAGTTGTTCTTCACATGTTTGTTTCATACAGCAGTACTGATTTGACATAAGAATCAAACAATTTAAGTTTAGTTTTAGTTTTAATTTATTTTGATCTCCAGAAATTTCATAGTACTAACCTATTTTGTATTCACATTTTTACTTCACTGTCAGTTGACTCATCTGTCTCTACATTACTGCTCAATCACATGTTTGACTGGGAGACTGATGATAGTCAGATTGCTGCAGGCTATACAATCTTGTGATAAGGTTGCATTTGAAGATAATTTGGCATTTTCACATGACTTCCATTTGTAATTTAGTATGTTGTTGAGAAGATAACTTGATGAGAGATCTACAAAAAGATACATCAAGACATGGATGTACAGAAGTCTAAGAAAGTGTACAGCCAGGATGAGACATGAGTGTTGGAAATCCACTGCTGTTGCTTCAATGTTAGGACAGTGCATAACTAAACTGAATCAGACTCTTTCTAAATGAGGAAATGATTGAGACAGCACTGTTTCATATGTTTGTTATAGTATGCAGTTCTTCTCACTTGTTGTGTTTTATATTTTAAGCTCAACTTCGGAATGGTCCTACAAATGTTGAGTCTGCTGGTGTTTTGGCTCTTTACAATACTACCCATCAAGAATCTGGTGCTGTTTGCAGTACAGACTTTGGACAAAATGAAGCAGGTTGGCAATAAATCAAAATGTTATTAATGTTTTCTAACACCATATTGTATATGTATGTCAGCATGGTCCTCAGCTTGTGTTATAAAGTAAAGGACTCTTGTCCCACCAGATGCACACTGGGCATATAGTGCTAGACATGTATGTTAATAGATCAATCGACACTTGGTGGGTGATTTTATGTTATACTATCATAATCGAAATCACTGCACGTTGAGCATTTCTATGCATGCTTACACTTCTTATGCAGCTGCCACTCCAAGGTACCGCTACTGATTGTTCCCAAGAGTAGCAGGTTTTAATGTCTCCTAATTCGTCCTTGAAGGTGCCCAATGCACTTGATCATGCTTGAAACTGATTGAAATCACTAACTGTGGTGGATGATGATGTCAGCACCACACTGACCACATTTACTTCCCAGGACATTACCTGGTACTCATTTTGGGTGAGATGACGTGGGAGCCAAAGCCAGTTTTGAAGAAAATATCTGCCTCAATTCAAAACCTCAAACTTTAGGTGCCAACAGGTGAGGGTCTAGTCACCACACTACCACAGCTCCTAAATGTGTTTGTGTGTGAGAGAGAGACATAGATAGAGAAAAAGAGAGATAGAGAAAGAGAGAAATATATATATGTGTATATATATTTACATGTACATATATATTTATAAAAATATATATACATATGTATGTGTGTGTGCGTGCGTGTGTGCATTTGTGCGTGCATGCATGCGTGCGTGCGCGCGCACACACATATATATAAATATATATAGAGAGAGAGAGTAAGATTTCCAATTCATGTCAGTCTCTTTTTATTTCACTGCACAGATGTCGGCTGCAGAATGCTTGGCTATGAACATGGCATCTCTCACTGCTGCCTACCTTTTGGTTACAACTACATGAACATCATGTTTAGAAACTTCCAGTGCAATGGCACAGAGCGCTCCTTGTTTGATTGTAAATATGAAGCAACAAGTGGCTATACTAGCTACAACTTCTGCAGCAGTAGGCAGAATTATGTTGGCCTGACATGCTATAATGGAACAAAACCAAACAGTAAGTAACATTAGGTTGACGGTGATGGGTCTGTAAAAACGTACATTTGCTTTTTCATATTGTTTTCTTGTTGTAGATTTGCTTTTCTATATACAGAAGACTTTGTTTTAAGAGGCAGAAGATGTGCTTTGGGGTTCATTGCAAAAGCAGATGGACACTGCTTAGTAAAACAGAGTCAACTGTTTAATACTACAAAAAGAAATCTTGTTTGAGAATGGAGGTTGAGGTGGTCACAGCAGCTTTCCACTGGTTTGAGAATCAGTTGCACATGCTTTTCATCCTTGTAACTGGCTCACAAAGAGAGTTATAGACAGGCATGCTCTATGCAGAGTGGCAAGCGTTGCTTCAGAGGTCCTGTGTGATTGGCATTTTTTGGGCATTTTCTCTGGGTCATGCAAGAGTGTTAGAAAATGAACAGGCAGACAGACTGCCTGGTTCTGTACCAGTGGGTGGTAAATTTAAGAATGACAAATTTAATGTGGTCAAGGCTATGCCTCATAATAAATTGTCATCTATTGTCTCTCTATCTTGCTCTAACTTATTTCCCATTAATCATTCACTTTTTTGGAGTTTTTTTTTTAAACAAGTAATGGCTAAAAAATATATGACTGCATCTTTGGGATAATTATTATAAATTGTTTTTATTTTTAAAACATCTAGATAACTTATTTTGCTTGTTCAAAGAAATTGAATTATTCTTTTATTAAACCACATCTCTAAAGTTTCGTACTTGCCATTTATCTGGTAATTTTCCAGATTTCAGCATTTCTATTTCAAATACATCTTCAAACACCAATACTGGATATGTGAAACTGAATTACCTCGGGACACCTGGCAGTATTTGCAATGAGGGCTGGAATAACAAAGATGCTTCAGTTGCTTGCAGAGAGTTGAACTATGCAAATGGAATTGCTTATTTCCATTTTAGAACAACTTTCTCTATGACTGGTAGTGATGGTCCATTTTGGATTTCAAATGTAAGTACTGAGTAGATATAAAAATGCTTTGTTCATCATGATAGCAATATTTGCCTCCTTAGATTTAGTCTGGTGACATTTAACAGCATGTTTAGAGCTTATTTAATTGTAATTAAAGGTAAAGTGAAGGACTATTTTCTACACCTTCAGGTATGTAGTGTTAGATCTAAATTTTATAGACCAGTTTGGCACATGATGGATGATGTGGTCCCACTGGCCGCCTTGACTTTCCAGTCCTGGACTTAACCTGGAATCCATTCAAGGCTGGGTCAACCTGGAAGCCAAGGTCATTTTTGGAGAAAATATGCTCTCCCACAAGGCACTAACCCTGTCTGCCTTATCATGCATCAATATTCCACTAAGCTATGCAGAGGCAGTCAGTCTGTCCACCTGTTCATTTCCCAACACACCGGCATATCCCAGAAACAATTTCCAGACAATACTCCTCACCCGTGTCCTCTGCAGTGAAGCATGCCACTCTACATGAAGCATGCATGTCCTGACCTTCCTCAGCATGCTTTCTGAGTCAGTTACAATCATGATGTGTGTGCGTGTTTCATGTTCTCTAACCAGCGGAAAGCTGCAGTGACCACCTCCACCTCCATTCTTAAGCTGGATGTTGTGGTATCATATTCTAGGCTCTCCTGCAACAAACATCAACCAATAACTTTTGCTAAGAAACTCCAAGCACTGCTTTTGCCTCTTGACACTGAACTGTCTGTAAATAATCCAATCATCTGAGCGAGCATTATCTTGAATTAATTGCTGATTTACCACCTCCCTGGCACCTGCTGGCCAGTCTCTGCATTCCCAGCTCAATGTGATTATGACTCTACACAAGTCTGACTGTTCAGATGGCACTTTGACCCACTCCTCTCCTCACCTAATGTTCTCAAGGATGCAAACCTGTCTGATTGTGTCTTCTGCCTGAGCCACCCATGACTTTCCTGTTATCAGCCGCTGACCCTTTACTGCGCCTGGAGCTTCGTGCAAAAAGTGATCTGTGTCTGCAGCTACCTTGAGATATGACTTCACCTGCAGCACCTTGTGCCTACCTGCAACCAAGGATGTATCGCATACACACCACTGGGGTGTCTCTGGTGCAACCCAGTATGACCCGCATAGCTGCGTTCTCTATGCGCTCTTGTTTGTCCATCTGACTCTTTGAGACGGTAAGCATTCCTAGGCCATAATCAACCATTGACAGGATCAGGTGCTGATATAGTGTGAAAAACATTCTCTGCTCTATGTCAATTGCAGCCAACGTCTTGAGCAAATGAGTACTTTTTGGCACTTTGTCACAACATTCTCCACATGGTCCTTAAAGGACAGGCTCTGTCAAATGTAATTCCCAGATACTTCAGTTTGCTCTCTCTGTTGACTTTTCTACCATCTATCGTGAGACTTGAAACATTAGCTCTAACGATCCTGTTGTCTAGAGAACACCACAAAACAAACTCCTTTTCCAGGTGGATGAGAACCCTCATTTCTGTACACTCAGTCACTTTGTCTACAGTCGCTTGTAACTCCTGGGCTGTTTGTTCCCTCTCTTCCCCCTTTCTATTTGCAAGTATATCATCTGCAAAAATCAGTTTCCTTCAAACTCCTGGTGCTTCTAGGCTTGCAGTCTTGCTCGTATACACCTTGAAGAGCACAGGTGAGATGGCAGATCCCTGTGGCAGACCTGGAGCCAAACAGGATGGTTCTGAGGTCCATGAGCCCAGTCGGAGAGCAACCTGATGTAAATACAAGACAGCTGCAACCCAATTCACCAGCCATGGACTGACCTCCTCCTTCAGTCATCAAGATGTTGTATTTTACTCTGCTTTAAGCATCCTCGAGATCCAGTGCTACCGCCATACTTTTCTGTCTTTTCTGGAGCCCTTCATAGACGTCAAAAGCAAGGGTGGCCGCATTTGCCCATGTGTCCTTTCCTGGCCTGTAGCTTCCCAGACCTTTTGGGAGCAGCTTCCCCCTTTCCTAAAATTTTTGCAGCTTCACAGCAACTATTTTCTCCAAATGTGTTTTGTAAGGTGATGATTCTAAAGCCACTGAGCTTTGAATGATCCTTAAAAGATTTTGGCAGTGGGATTAGATAGCTGTGCACCCAGTCCTGTGGTACTAATGTTGTTTTAATGCTCTGATTAAAGCAGTCGGTCATCTCTGCCAGGTCTACATCGCTCAAAGCCTTCATGTGGCCATACCTGACGCCATCAGGCCCTTGTGCAATGTCTTTTGACTTTTTCAAAATTTGTTTGATATCTTCTATTCAAATCATGTCTTCATAGTGCATATTTTTTAAGGTGAAAGCTAACTCCTCTCTAACTGTATCCCTGATGTCTACATCATTTTGATCTGTCTGAGCTATAAACCAATGGAGAAAAGCCTCCCCTTTCTCCTTGTCTATGTCATACGAACACTATCGTCTCTATAGATTGTTCCCACTGTCATAGGCCGATCTTTTCTTTGCATCTGCCTTTGCAGTTTCCAGAATTTCTTTAGAGTTTTATCACCTCCCATATCTTTCACAAAAGTTTCCCACTTCGCTCTTTTGACCTGTGCAGCACAGCGCTTGAAAACCTCCACGTTATCTTTTCCACATTCTCCACCATCTCCACTTCCTATCGTGAGTTTGAGGGTGTTTGTCGTACATTTTTTTTAGCTGCTTCACTGCGGCTCTCTTTGCTTTCCACGCCTGTTCTACTTCTGGAGTCCACCATGGGGGCTGTAGAAAGTTAGTTATGGCAGTCCTTTTGCATGCTGCCTGTCTGAGGCGTCCAAGTAGGTTGTTGGTCCACTTATACCAGAAGGTCTTGCCTGCTCTCCCAGCCTTAACCTTGCTGGGTTTCGAAATCAGGACTGGAAATGGTAGGTGATAACTTCCATGGTAATTCAGGACCACACATTTATCCTCTAAAACCGATGACTGGGAGACAAATGTCATGTCAATGGCTGTGTCTGCATCGCCAGACCTCATTACCAGTCTAGTCAGCCTCCATCATTGATGCAGACCATATCAGAGTCAACCGTGGCCTCTGCAAGGACAACTCCCTGTCGGATTTCTCCACTGCTGTCCCATTCTCTGTTCCTCACATTGAAATCCCCACAAATAAGTAACCTATCACATGGTAACTCCTCCAATTCCTTGAGCCAGCCCCATTGTTCCCTTCTGACATGGCATATATATCAATGAGGTTCCAATTTAAGCCACCAGTCTCCACCTGTATCCCTTGAACCTCTCTTCCGCTGTGGTTCAACTGGCTCAAGTCAAGCACCACATGCTTCACTCCTTCCTTCACCACCGGACCTTGTCCATGTCTCCCCTGTCCAACAGGGTGTATATAACTGATGTACCCCGGGCAATGATATCTGTCTGTATTTACCTCCTTGAGCATGATGACATCAAAATAAAAAATCAGCCTCTCCAGTACAGGACCTCTCTGCCTAGCACTCCGACAGTACCAGTATCCTACTTTTATATGTTTGAAGCCTAATCTCTCCACTGTTTGTCTTTTTCTCCTAGCACCTGCCCTCGTTTTTCTATGCCAGCTTCTCTCCCCATTCCCTTGTCATCTCCTCCTCACTCTCTCTCTTCACAAACTGCTGAAAAAATGTGTCGAGCGCAGAGCATGTGCTCCGTAGCTTCGGTGACAATTCCTATGTATATTTAAATTTGTAATGAATGTACTTGTGTCTCCTCCACACTTGATCTCTCTAGTGCAGATTCAACACTGACTGTTGTCTAGGTGTTAGGTCACAGCTCATTCTAACCAGACGGCATTTCTCTCCACGGCCACACAACCTCAAACGACGGTTGACACCAGCTGACACATTTCACAGGTTTATTATCAATCCGCCTGCTAGGGAAGGGGCAACGACCAGCTCACCCATGCCCATCCAGTTCCTCAGCACGTTGGCCTACCTTGAACTTGAGGGTTTATATTCGGAGTTTCCTGTCTCCTAGATGTACTACTGTCCAAAGCTAACGGGCTCCACCTACCCGGGAAAGGGGTTTTAGGGCCCTGACCAACTTGGCAGGCGCATCCCTGAGCATATGAGGTATTTTATAAGGATTTCAGATCCTACCCTGAAATCCTGCCTCCTCTCTGTGCCCACCACCAGTTGGTCCGCAGCTACTTACTGGGTATTCACAGCTAGAGGCCGTTCCACAATCCACAACCAGTGGACGTGCTGAATTGGGGATGGTCGCCCCAGCTTTACCCAATCTTATTCAGTTTTAAAATAAAACAGTTGCTTGTTTTCACATGAAACCTGAATTATTTAATCGGATTTTTTATGTAAACATTCAGAAAATTTATATTTCTATTTTGATGAAACATATATCTTATTTTACAATTGTTAAGAAGCTCAGTTCATTTTACGTTTTTTGCCCCAGAAAGAGAGGGACTTCCCTTGCCATTCCTGTCTCGTTAGGTCGCAGGACCTCTCCTGGGATGTTATGATATGATTTGGTTTGGCGCTTGCTCGGCATATATAATGATTATGAGAGGTTGTGTTGTCCTGAGTCTATTACAAGTAAGAAGTACTGCAGGGGGAAGTGCTCCAGGCGTGAGGATTCTGGAGTATTAAAAATTTTCAAAATTTTATTTCTATTTCTATGTTCGTTGGTGGTGCCCCCCACTCCCACCCCCTTTTCCGCCGTGAGAAAGAAAACACACACAAGGAATGAAGTAATAGAAAAATATCACTATTATCATACTCCAGAACCGTTGTGCAGGTAACAGAAAGTGAAAATAATCACGCAAGCAAATGGTGAAAAGATAAGAAAAGAGGGAACAGTTAAAGTTTTGACAATAAAGAAATAAAGAAAACCTGATACCCCCACAATGCCGGAGGTCGTGCGACTGACGAGGTATGAATGGCAAGAAAATTCACTCTCTTTCTGGGCTGGAAAATGTAAAATGAACTAGAAGCTCTTATATTTGTCTTTCCATCTTTTCCTAACTGAATTATTAATCTTTAAAAAACAGGTTAACTGTACCGGTTCTGAGGCACACATTAGAGATTGTCCCCACTCTGAACTTGGTAATGTTACTGGCTGTGATAAGGCACATCATGCTGGTGTTCTGTGTATGGATGGCTCAGGTAAAACCAATATTACTGACATAAAATTAACACATTACAGATCATGAAAGTGAAGGATAATATTGTTTCCAGTAATTTTTTAAGAATAATATTTGTTATTCAGTGTAAATAAGCTAACTGAAAATAAGCTAAATGAACAATTTAGGGTGCAGGAAGACCGGCCGATGATCACTGCCTCCCAGTTGTTTTCCAATAACTCGTGTAATGTTCCATTCCAGATCTGGAGAGTGAAATGCTAGGTCTGGGGTAGTAGTGGTGTGCCACGACCTCGAGTAGAATATGGGTGGATCAGTTGGCCTAATTATCAGAACAAGTCTGTTCTCATCCTGCACTTCTTCCAGTTTCTCTCCTCTCTGGTCTATGTGGTCGTACCCCCAGCTTTGTGAGTGGCTGTTAAAGTCTCCACATAGAATCATCTTTGCTTCTACTGGGATTGTGTCTAGTGCTTGGGGACGATCACTTGGGAAGTAATAATTGCTCAGGTAGAAGTCTGCATTTCCAGTTTGCAGTTTTAGAATCTGATATTCTGCTCCATCCATATTACTTCAGTCTGGCAAGCAGTGATATTGTTCCTTACTAGAGTCAGTATTCCACTCTTTTTCCTGCCTTTCCGGTCTGATCGGAAGCACTGATAACCTCTGATTTTGAAGATTCTGTCTTCGGTGAGGTGGGTTTCTTGTAGACAGCATATATGAATCTGTTCCTCATTTAGAATATTTTCTAACTCTAGCTTTTTTTTGTAATCCCCTCCGCATTCCAGTGCATTATTTTGACTCCATTCTCAGTTCGGCCAGATGCTCTATTCTCATGTCCCCTGGCTCCACAGGACATTTGAGAAGGATCTCCAGTAATTTGGTTTAGGCCTCTTCGAGACAGAGGGCCCAGCACTGCTCCTGCCTGAGAGTCCATCACAGGGCTAGCACCATATCGAATACAGACAAATGTAGCACCACGCTCTTCACTCTTTCCCCAAAGCAAAAAGCGGGCATCATCAAAATAAACGGAATACCCCTAAGCGATGATAAAGAGCCCACGTACCTCGGAGTCACATTTGATGACAGGTTGACAAGGAGAAAACATATCAACAAGGCAGCAACCAAAGCCAGGAGGAAGACAGCCATACTAAGAAAACTAAGTGGAACCACATGGGGAGCCAGTGGGAAAATACTCAATAAAGTATACAAGCAGAGCATATTTTCACACTTGGAATATGGGTCAACTGCATGGTGTTCAGCATCTAGTACCACATTAGAGGAGTTGGACAAAGTGCAAAATCAAGCACTCAGAGTCATCACAGGATGGATGAAATCAACCCCCATATTAGAAATGGAGAAAGCTGGGAAAACACAGGTACTGAGAGAACACAGAGATACAAAGTTGCAAATACAAGCTGAAAAGTTCCTCAGTATGCCAGATCACCCCATGAAAAATAGATTTCAGAACCTAGCCTTGGGACGGTTAAAAAGAAGCAGCTGTATACATCAAGCAAAAAGAATATGTAGACAAACTGCTGACCTTCCAGGAATTGGTTGTCCACTTAACAGTATTCAAGAACAAACCCCATGGAGAAAGAAATGCAAACTAACAGTACAAATCCAGACAAATTTGAAAGGAATAATTGACAAGAAAGAACAAGATAGTGTACAACGCAGAATGGCCACCCTCAGTTATTTTGATGAAGAATACCCACAAGAACAATGGGTCAAAGTCTATACAGATGGGTCCGCAGAAAGTGCACTTAGAAATGGTGGCACTGCAGTGTACATCGAATTCCCAGATGGTACTAGGAATAAGTCCAGCGTACCAACCGGGAAGTACTGCCATAACTATGATGCAGAAACTCAGGCTATCAAAATAGCAACAGAGAAACTGCTAAATACCAATCTTGGCTCCCAGTATGTAGTAATGCTGACAGATGCAAAATCAGTACTTGAAGCACTCCAGTCTAGGAAACTACCAGAATTGCAAACACTGCTGACACAACTTAGCCTTCAGCAAAGAGTTGTAATGCAGTGGATACCATCACATTGTGGAGTGCCTGGAAATGAGAAAGCTGATCAACTGGCAGGAGAAGGTGCGACAAAAGTGCAGCCGGATGTACCAGTCACATACCACCAAAAGAAAAGAATCATTAAATCAATCAGGAAACCACCAGCCCCATCACAAGACGACTATTTTATTTTGGACAGATCAGAACAAGTCATTATCCTCCGCCTCAGAACAGGGCACAACCGATTATGTAACCACATGTACACAAAATTTAAGATAGGCGTATCAGCCATGTGCACCTGTGGAAAGGTGCCCCAGACAGCAGAGCATGTACTCCAGGACTGCACCAATTTGACATAGTAAGGCAAACCTTTTGGCCAGAAAGAACAACAGTGGAACGTAAACTCTATGGACCACTGAATGAATTAACAAAAACAGTGAAATTTATACAAGAGACAAAATTGCTGATATAGACAACTTATTTCAGGCAAATGAAAGAAGAAGAAGGAAGCAGTGTAGATTATCCCCCTGACTACCAAGCCCGTTAACCCATACACTTTCCAAGATACCATGTATTCAAGTGTATACTAAAAATTCTATAGTTCACAACTACTTAACATAAACTCATAATATTATGCATTTTTTGCATCAAACTGAAAAACTGAATGGAGAACAAATTTCAAGAATTTAAAAAAAAAATTGTATAACACTGGTGCTAATCTATCTGACACCAATGCACAATTTTTTTTGGGTTCTGCTGAAATAATCCTTGATGAGAGCTCTGCCTAACTGTGAAATACAATTCTGCAAATTCAGTTAATGTTTGGTATTTTGTACCAAGAACTTCTCATACAGTATGACTGAACTGTCAGACTCAAAAAGCCATAAAAACAATATTTTTCCCAAAACGCTCATCAGGGAATCGCACCCCAGTAAACTTCATGGATTGCACTGTGAAACAATATTTACTGAACTCTAAGCCATAGAGCCATAATGTACACAATCTTCACTAACAACTGCATAATATGTGATTGTGGTAGTCAGTGGTTGTTGCTAAATGAACAATTTTGGGAGCAGTATAGATTGGACGAGGAATCTTTAGAAAACTGTAAAATCAAAGAAAGGAACACTGGAACATTTCAGAGAACTGCGTAGATGACTGAGAAACACTTTAGAGAACAGTGTAGTAGTGCAGTTTGCTGGAGGAGCAATTAGCAATTAACTTCCTCCTTTGATATATGCCAAGTAAGATGCAGCACCCATGTGCTTGCTTGCTTGCTTGTTGTACCCCACCAGGACATCACACAAGCAATAAACACCAGGTGACACAAAGTGCCACCATGCGGATGAGGATCACCCATGGAGAGGTCCCAGAAACCCCTTTCAGCTGTTATGGCAACAATTGTTTCCCAGCTTTATTCAGGGCTTCCGGCAAAAGCCAGGGTGAAGTTTCAAATAACAAAAAATTGCATCCCACAAGGTGATGACGAATTTGTTTCTCGCATGTAATTAAAGCCATTTTTTGTTCCTGTATCAGTAAACTATACTATTGTGGAATATGGTGAAGCAGTGGTTTATGTAATTATTCGTCTTTCAGAGATGCAGTTCAGGTTGGCTGGTACAGAGAAGCCACATTATGGGCGAGTCGAGGTCAAAATTAATGATGTATGGGGCACTGTATGTGACAGGTACTGGGATCAGCGCGATGCATCTGTCATGTGTCGACAGATTGGATATGAAACTGGTGACATATGGATCACCAGTGATCTACCACCAGGCCAAGGTAACTGTCTTTATTTAAGTTTTAAATGTTTTTATCTAAATTAAATTTGTTTTTATGAATCTTGACTAAAAACTTCTGCATTTACATAATAAGAATGTAATGTAAATTGTGACACATTAATTGAATCTGTTAGCCTGAAAAAATCTTTCAAAAACTAGGGGTCAGCTTGTATGACAGGACTAAAATGTGTCAGGCATAAGCCTGACTCAGAATTATGAACTAAAATTCTTCAAATCAATTTGTACACCAGGTCAGTTTGTACACTACAATTTACAGTAAGTGAACTAAAAATATGAGACAAAAGTTAAATACACTTAAAAGCAAAGCCTGAGTAAAATGATGAATGTAAAAATCTGATAAATTCATGAGGAGTGAAGAAATAAGAGAAATGTCTTGGTAACCACTAGGATCAACAGTTATAAGACAGAGAAGATGTGCTATGCTGGACATATTCAGAGAAGAGAAAAACAGAGAATAACAAAACAGGCATTAAAATGGAAAATAGAGGGACTGTGGAAGCAAAAAGATGTCCAACAGAAACCCTAAGGTGAGCTGTGATGAGAGCGGCCAAAGGTGCTAGAGTGGATTTCATCCATCAAAATAAGATGGAGAAATAGACTGCAAGTCCTGTATGACAAAGAATGGCACAATGAATGCAAAACAAAACCCTTAAAAAAAAGGGGAAAATGTAAAGAAACGATTTACATTTTTTAATTAAATTTGACTTGTGGTTTTTTACTTTTATGAACTGCTGGTACTTTCTGGAAAATGTAGTCAATAGTGTGCTACTTTTACTTTGCAGTACAATTTATGGAATATGTCAATGAGAGTTTCTATCTGGTGTGATTACATCTATCTAGTATGTCACAGTAACAAGTTGTAAATTCAATGGATTTTCCCAGAATCTTTAGCTTTTAAATTGACTACAGTCATGTCTGGTTCCCTTTTTGACACTGGGTTCAGCTGAGAATCTAAGATAATTAAAAAAAAAAAAAACATCCATGGAAACTTGAAAAAAATAAGTTTGGCATTAGTTTAATGCAGAACTGTTTATGACAGGTAGACTGTGTACTGTGGCTACACACTGAGTCAAAGAAAGCTGAAGTATCTGCTTGTAAGTGCTGACTCTAAGGCATAAGTATTGTCAGTTATGTGCAGTATATCCAGTCAGTTTAGGTGAGAAAGATACAGTTTCTGAATGATATACTGAGACAATCTAGATTTACAGAAATTAATCATTAACAAAAAGCAGATTTGTGAGAAATTAGGTAGAAGCTTGTCAAAATGACTATATTGTGTATGCTAGAACAGTGTAGCAATTTTCCACATGCCCAGCGACAGCTGTTCTCTGTCTCTACTAATCTTTTAGCAACCTGTTTCCTTCTGCAAAGCTCTTCATCAAATGCTCTCCAGGCAGTATTCTGTTACCACACAAAAACTGTTGCATCGTTATTTTATGTTTCTGTCGCTGCTGTCCGTTTCACCACTCTTTATGGCAGTGTAGATAATGGGTCATAAGATGCTTAGTGCTGAGTGGCTATTGCTGTCGTCATGGACTCTCAGCTTAGGATGTTACATTTTATATCCGACAGAAAAACTTTATCACCTTGCCGGGTGTCGAACCGGGTTCTCCTGCATGATTGCCCAGGGTTGTGCTTGCTTGGCCAGTCATTCCTCTATGTCACTGGTTGTAAATCACTTATAAATCATGATTAATTAGTAATTATTAAAATGTCTTTGATGTGCCAAGCACTGTTGTAGGGACCGTGATCTATGCTATTAGAATTATATTGTAGCATGAATTTTACCATTATCTCTTTTACTTATTTTCATGAATTTTTATCATTTGCTCTGATCACACAACGTCATTCCAGAAGAAAATGTATATACTGTCATAAAACATCATTATCATCAACATCACCAGTATCGTCACCACCATCACCACCATTATCATCATCATCATCATCATTATGGGATGCCATAAAGTCTTTTGTTCATCTGCCAACATCCTATCCTTGTGTCCAGGGTGTCTTTGATATCCTGTGTCCACTGCCATGTTAATCATCCTACCTTGTCTTTTCAACTAGGAACCATATCCTTAATTACTTATGACATTTTAAATTACCAAAGTATTTTAATCTTTAATAGAATGATACTGTTTATGAGCTATGTAAAATGTTTAGAAGTAATTATGTGAGTATGTAAAAGCATTTGGATGAGCTGTCTACTCATATCCCTAGGCCCTGTATATGAAATTGGACCCCGCTGTTTGGGTACGGAGGATAACATTAATAACTGCCCCCATGAAGGCTGGACCTCAGACACAACTAGCAGTTGTTCACAGCACTCCAGGGATGCTGGAGTTTTCTGCTACATGTCAGGTAATTTGTTGGTTGTAGCAAGCAATTCACCATGTGTTTGTCTGGGTCTAACTACAATATCATGACCCTTGTTTACATTCATTTGTTCAGTTAACCAATTCTGCCCTGACTTTTGCTTGAAATTCTTTATTGTCATATAGCTACTATTTTAGCTTCTTAAGATCCAAAAAATTATAAGTTAAAGTACTGACTTCTTAGAACAGGATTCAACTGGAGGCCAGCATGCAGAATCTGCATTGCTATTTGTATTGTAATAATGATCTTTTATGCTTGGGCTGTCTTCTAGGTCAGTGACGATCCTCTTTTTCAACATTATTGCTCCTGGGTAAACTTAGTTAAATAGCCCTGTCCTAGGATGTTAGTTAAATTAACATCCATCTGGGACTGAAAGTATTACATACTGCACAATACACTTCTACTTATTAGCATTCACCAGCTGTAAACTCTGGCAGAAAATTTTGGTCAGTCATTGACTTCTTGGTTTTTGTCTTGTTCCAGAACTTGAGTTTTGTGTAAACATCCCTTTTATAGATCTGGCTGATTTGGCTGTTGGTTCGTAACATCTCTGGCACATTGACTTCAAAGAAAACAACTCTAATTAGTTGCCCTCTGTGACATGTTTGTTGTATTCCTCCTCCCTCCCCCAAATGGAGCCCTAGCAGAACCACGATGGTGACCACACAGTTACAGCCAACTTTATTATGTCTGTTGCCTTTACTTTTAGAGATGACTGTACTTAGTGCTCTCAAGATTATGGCAGCAATGAACATAGAACAAAGAATGCTGTTCACAATGTTCCAGCATGTGATCCTGTCGGTGATAGATTATGGACTTGGAATGCTTACCATATCAAAGTGTCGGCTGATGAAACTTGAACGCATACAGTAGTATGTAAGTGATATATGCTTGCACTGCCTACTATTGCAAATAGACTCAAAATTCTGCAAACAGTGTCATATCTCAGAGTAACTGCAGACAAGAAATCTCCTGCATGAAGCAGTGAGTAGAGCTAAGGCTCACAAACTGAAAAGAGGAAGGTCTTGGATGGCGCAAGCTGAAGACGCAATTGGACAAGTGTGCAGATAAATTTGGGTGAGGAGAGGAGCGGATCAAAGTGTCTGAGCAAGTTTCAAATTTTTGTAGGATTCTGATCACTTTAAGTCGTGAGTGCAAGGACTAGTCAGCTGGTGCTGAGAATTAAAATTTCAACAAATGGTTCATGACAATTCCTGCCCAAGTGATATGATTATCAATATAGATGGTTCTGTGCTGAGGGGCAGACGAGGTGCATGGGGTTCATAGCAAAAGCAAATCGACATCGCTTAGCTTAGCAGCAAAGCCTGGCATATGATATCACAACATCAAGTCCAAGAATGAAGGTGGAGGCAGTCACTGCTGCCTTCCGCTGGCTTAAGAATCAGCTGTACACACATGCCGTTATTGTAACTGACTCACAGAGCATGTTGAGAAAGGTGGAGAAGGCATGCTCCGTGCAGAGTGGCAAGCATCACTTCAGAGGTCCCGGGTAGTTAGAATCCGTTGGATATTTTCTCCAGGTCATGCCAATGTGTTGGGAAATGAGCAGGCAGATAGACTGGCCAGCTCAGCACCACTTGGTGGTGAAGCTAGATATTGTGAGGGCCCTTTAAGAGCAAGTGAACAATGAGGAGGCCCAGATCGATCATTATAGTCTGAGGAAAATGGCACTGCGAGGAGTTACCAGGGGATCTGGCCGATGCTCAATACATAGGAGAAGGGTGACATGGATGTACAATCAGACAGTAACTGGTGCCATCAAAATAGGAACTTTTTTGCTTGCTTTTGAAGAGGGGGTGGGGGGGGGGGCGGAGCATTTATGGAAGTGTCCCAGGTGTTGTGATGTTGATTCTCAATTCCCCACTCAACATTCAGAGGGAAATGTAAGAAAAAGGTTCCCTCTATGTGACACTGAACCCACATCATCTACCTTTTTTGTTTTTTTTTAGCCAGTTCACAGACCACCGCATAACTATGGCCCTACAAGAGCTATAAAATAATAATACAAAAATAAACAGAGACATGGCTTTTGTTTTTGGTCATCTTTGCAAGATTGTTGTCTTTTTCCCCGGTCTTTTTGGATGCACCTGTAATTAACTTTCATTTTTATTTGATTCAAATGTGGTATTCTCTCTCATCGTATTTGGCTGTTCAACTATTTCTTTCCCGGCCACGTCTGATGTGTGAATTTCCTTACACATTGATTTCCCTCTTTAGCATAATGTGCTTTCCTTTTTTTAACATCAGGTGATAACATATTAGCAAAACCTGGCTTTCCCAATAGTCGTCAGCACTGTGTATATTGCCACTTGGAAAGTAATGCACTCATGACTTTCATCATTTTTATTTCTTCAGTTTGGCTTCTGGTTTGAAATCTTCTGATAGTGAAAAAGATCATGGTTACAAAAGTTACTGGCAAAAAATATTGTATGTCCCACCATTGCTCATCTTCTTAAATCTTTAGACCACCATGGTGTAGTGGCTAGATGCTCACCCTTCAGATCTGAAGATCCTAGGTTCAGATGCTGTCAGAGCTAAACGTTTTTTTTTCAAATGATCTTGGCTTCAGGTTGACTAAATGGGTACCAGTGTATTCCTGGGAAGTAAAAGCAGCCAGTGTGACGTTGAAACTATCACACACCATGGACCAGTTTGTCTATAAGATATAAGTTAGCCCTATATGCCCAATACGCCTGAAGGCGGGGAAAAGGGTCTTTTACTTTACCTTACTTAAATCATTGTTAGAATTCACAGCAAATGCCTGAAGGAAAAGCTACAAATAAAATGCAGGAATGTAATACTTTCAAAGACATGCAATGTAGTGCATGTTAAAATCTACAGGTATATATTGTCGCATTTATTTTGAAGGCTCAAACTAAATAACAACCCATTAAACATTGATGAAGTTATACATTTTATAGGAAATACAATACAATGTGCTTTTGGGGCAAAATAATGTTAATAAAGATTTGAAAATAAAGACCTCATATACTTGCTTCCCATCCATTACATAATGAAACATTCACAACAGTTGATGTATAAACATAAAAAATATATATATATTTGAACAAAGAAGTCACAAACTATCGATTGCATATTTTTTTTTTTTTTTTGCAGGCACATTTCGCTGTATTTTGTCAGGTGCATACTACAGTAGCAATTACATAAGTGAAACATATAAATGAATCCTTTATAACCAAAGTACAAATTCAACAACAATCAGACGCAATCAGATTGTGCAATCTATTGTTTGTGTCTTCTTTTTTCAAATTTACAATGGGGAAACATTGCTTTGATTAAGTAATAATATACTTTTTAATTTCTGTTTTTCTTCAGTGCGCCTAGGGACCGGTACTGGGAAAGAATATTCACATGGCCCTGTAAATGTTTTTGAAAATGGAGTCTGGTATAAAGTGTGTTCTGCTGGTTTTACTGATAAATCAGCTCGCATAGTCTGCCAAGAACTAGGCTTCTATGATGGGCGATCTGTGTGTTGTTCAGCCTATGAGGGAGAAGGGACCAGCTTTGAAACCTTGCACCCAAATATCACAGTTCAGTGTGCAGGAGATGAAGTCAGTGTTAAGCAGTGTATCAGAATTGAACAATGTCAGAACAATGCATATGCATCTGTTGCTTGCTTTGAACAAGAGGATGTCATCAATGAAACAGGTATTTTTATTGTTATTTCTGTTTATTTTATGTGATACATTGTGAAGAAACATTAGAAGGCTTTTTGAGTAGTCAGATTAATTCTGTTTAATAAATTATAAGCATTGGAAATAGTAGAGACTTTAGTGAAGACTGTAACATCATTGCCATAATCAACTTCACATTTACCCCTGAACTAACATGACAAAAAGTGTACTTGTGTGTTTCGCCCATGGCATCTTCAGCATTGAAAAACTCCTTAACTAAACAATAGACAAATGTACAATTTTGTTGTTTGCTAATAAATAACCCCTAGAGACATTAATCTTGCTTCAGAAACATATGCAGTGAATACATTTTTAATTTTACTGGCACAAGTGTAGCAGTGGAAGTGTGATAAACAAAACTGAAATGCAATGTTTGGCACTTACAGATACAGAATAAAGAAGAAGAGATGAAGGACATACAAGTTAAAAAAAAAGAACCTTTTGCATGCCTTTTGGAGTATTAGATATATAGTGCTAAAATTATGATGAAGGAAATGCCAATAGTCTCTCTTGCCGCTCTCAGTCACACAGTAGAATACTCGAGTAATAGTTACCAATACATTGTAGCAAGTTCCTGCTCACTGAAGGATAAGCCGGCATGAAGTCCGAATAGCCCTACCAATCTCAACAACTTAGAGCTGCTAACTTGCGATGTCTATTCACACGACACAAGCAGGACTCACTAATCCAATCAACAAAACAAACCGACACAAGTTCTAAACTGCCCATCAGTATTCACAACATGGAGGTGATAGCCTACATCCGCACACAACAACATCAGCAGGTCTCACTGATCACATCAACAAAACAAACCAACACAAGTTCCAAACAGCCCATTAGTCTCCACAACTTGGGGATGATAGCCTGCAACAGCACACAACAACACCGGCAGGACTCACTAATCCAATCAACGAAACAAACCGACACAAGTTCAAAACTGCCCATCTGTCTCCGAAACTTAGAGATTATAGCCTGCATCCGCACACAACAATCCCAGCAGGTCTCACTAATCCAATCAGCAAAACAAATGGACACAAGTTCTAAACTGCCCGTCAGTCTCTAACTTGGGGAGGATAGCCTTCAACAGCACGCAACACCAGCAGCTTAGTGATTGTGACGTGGGTCTATTCTAGCCCCCTCCCCCTCTCCCACAGTCCCCCTGAAACCCACACAGGCCAGAAAAGAAAAACAATCTGTTGTATTTTTGGGAATAATTCTTTTGCTTATTCTTTGGATTCCTGAACTGACAGTCATGACTCGAGCCTCCACTCACCTACTCTGTCATTTGAAATTTTGATGAAGTTGGTGTCATTATTTTGTTGTCCTGCTGTGTGCTTTCCACAGCTATATTTCTCAGTCAACCTCTGACTGTGTTGTCTAATATTTTCCCCATATAGGATTAACTGTTTAGAGAATGATGCCAATTCTACTCAGAAAATATAGACAGTAAATTTGATTCAGATGATTACATTTCTTTTCAAATTTACTTTTTCAGATTATGTATTTGTAATGAATAAGGATTTTGAAACAGCAGGCCGAATTGATGTTACCCACTTGGGTATCAAAGGTAGAATCTGCAGCAATAACTGGACTGATATTGATGCAAGGGTCTTCTGTAAAGAAATGAACCATACAGATGGTTTTGCATATTATCATTCGTATAATAATGTAAGTATAATACATGGTTTTGTTTAGTGAATATATTTATTATTCTCTCAATTTATGGTATTGTGTAGTTCAGTTACACATATGAAGTAATTAAATTATCTTATTTTATCATAGTTCTAACATGATTGATTTGATTTGATTTGATTCAAGAACCGACATCACAGCACTCGGGGCATTCCCAAAGTTCTAACATTTGTTAAGGTAATAGTTTGCCATAGGAGAACATTGCACTTTTTGTTCTTTTTGGATTCTTTTACAATTCTTTTTCTTCTTTCGTTCACTTGAAATAGATTATCTATATCTGTAATGTTGTCTCTAGTATCTTTTAGTGTCTTTAGTAATGTAATAATATTGGCTGGCCTCCGGAGGTTTTCCATAAGGACAGGGGCTGAGCAAAAAAGATACAATAATGTCTGTAAATGATCACTTGTCTGATAAGAAACAAGTCAATGAAAACATGGGACCACGCCTAATGTAAGAAGCAATCAAATTTAGTACCAGCGAAGTAAGATATTGTGAGGGCCCTTTAGGAGCGAGTGAACAATGTGGAGGCGCAGATAAATCATTATGGTCTACTGAGAATGGTGCTGCGAGGAGTTAACGGGGATCTGGCCGACGCTCAACACTCAGGGGAAGGATGAGATGGACATACAATCAGGCAGTTACTGGTACCATTAGAATTGGAACTTTTTGTTTGCTGCTGAAGATTGAGACTGAGCACTTATGGAAGTGTCCCCAGTGCTGTGATGTCGATTCTTTATTCAACATGCAACATTTAGTACCAGCAGAGCAGAAGGTGGTAGAGTATGAAGTAGAGGCATTCATAACCAGCTGGCTACTAGAATTGAATGTGTCTCTACTCTTTGTATCATCAGGAGAATTATAGGCAACAGCTGGCATGCCTAAAATGCTATGACATTGATGTTGGATGAAATTTCAAAATAAACCTAGTCATTTTATGTACCAAGCATCGCATCTTATATTATGGGGTGTTTAACTCTTTCAGTGATGTGGATAGACTTATTTCGTGTGAATCCCAGCCATAACGTATTGTGTTCGCCCCTATTCTACCATTGGTCACAGCACACTAAAGACATCAGCCTTCCATATTGACTACTTCTGCTGCATAATTTGCCTGTCTGAATGTTACGCATTCGTGACTTTTCGTGGTGGTAGTTCATTCCCTTGAAAATTTACTGTGAGAACCCCTGCAATTGAAAGAGTTAAAGGCCAAGAGATTAACTTCATTGTTCCGGGTTTCGTCATTTATCCCTTTGGTCTCTATCCACTCAGTGGATAATCTTGCATCGATTATGTATTATTTTTACAAACAGATTTTAGGAGTATATATTGTTAAGTTTAGTATATTTTAAGCATAATAAACACATTTAGAAACATATAATACTTAGTGTCTCCTTACATATGTTTGTCCTACTTATATTTTACGTATGTTTTTTTATTTTTCTTAATATATTGTTATAGACATTTTTTTCTGATTGCATGTTATAAAATTAATAAAAACTTCTAAGAACACATATTACTTAGTTTCTCCTCACAGTTTATTTTCCTGACCTTTTCTAGCCAGTCCAAACATTAGCTTACTGTATCCCGTATGCTACTTTAGTTTTTATTAGTCTTTTTTTATCTTTTTTATATGAATGTTATTTTGTCTTCTTTATATGGATTTATTACTTTAGATAGTAAATGCTGAGATAGAAAGAGTTAAAGTATTCACTTCTTTTTGACAGAAGGAGTATAATAAAACTAATTAATGCACTGCAAATAGTTTTTTCTTACAAATTTGCAGGTAAGCATTACATTTCAATTAAAACATGACTGTTTGTCCTCAGTCGTATGCAACAGAAAGTATGCTTGGTCCCTACTGGATTAGTAATGTCTCCTGCACTGGAAATGAAACTTCTCTCAGTCAGTGTAAATTTAACGATAGACAAAATCTGGGCAACTGCTCAGAGGCACACACGGCTGCAGCAGTCTGCTTCAATGAAACTGGTTAGTGATTTTATTTAACAGTATTTGAAACAGTTTAATATATATTTGAACAGTTATTTAATGCAGTAAGGGTAAAAACCTCCTTATGTATCATTGAACGGCACAGGCAAAAACAGCCTAAGCCATTCTCCTCAATGAATACATAGGAAGATTGTTTCAAAGAACAGCCATTGTCAGACAGGATCCTTTTCCATGCCTTCAGGCATGTTGGGCATATATGGCTAGAAACTTAGTGGGTGATCACGCCAGCCACTTTTACATCCTAGGACTTAATCTGGTCCCCCATTTAAGGCTGGGTCGACTGGGAGCCAAGGGAATTTTTGATGTTGTTATTGCTCCTTCTGGACCTAAACTCACAACCTTCCAATCCGCAGGGGAGCGTCTAGCCGCTACACAAAAGCAAGCCCTGGGTCTAAATGTGGCAGGTAAAATGAAATGAGACCCACTGGCTTCCTACTCACTTCCTCCCTCCTTCCCAGATATGTTGAACCTGACAATCAATACTCCTACAATGTTATACAATTATTACATAAGCCATGCAATACTGAATGACCAGACATTTAAAAAAAACACTGTACATATCCCAGGTATAACGTGTTGTTTATACTATTACTACTATTACTACTACTACTACTACTACTACTACTACTACTACTACTACTACTACTACTACTACTGCTGCTGCTGCTGCTACTGATACTACTACTACTACTACTACTACTACTACTACTACTACGACTACTGCAACTATTACTATTACTATTACTACTACTACTAAAACTACTACTCCTGCTGCTGCTCATGCTGCAGCTACTACTAATATGCAATTTTTGTAACATTTAACTTTTTGTGATTTAGAACACTTTTATTGTACAGACTGTCCAGTGTGGCTGATAGTAGTTTACAGCTGTGTGTCTTATCTGCCCTGTTGAAGCCATGATAGCCAATTTCAGCAAACATTATATCGTTAACATTTCATGACACAATTGTTAAGATGCACTGAGTCTGTGCCCCCTTTTCCTTTTCCCCAGCCACCCTGTTCCTCTCATTGAGGCTCCAGAACCTAAAGAGGGACTTCAGGAAAATAATTTTCTTTAAACAAGCAAATAAGTTAGAGAGTTATCATTTTTAAAGTTCATTCCATTATGATTCCTAGACCTGTTGATATTCTGTCACTAATGATGTTTACTTATAACATTTTGATGTCTTTTATTTTTCAGGAATTAATTACCGATTGTCTGGAAGCCTTAACTTTGGTCGCATTGAAATGGCCATTGATGGTCAATGGGGAACAGTCTGTGGACAAACCTTTGATAATCGAGATGCTCGTGTTGCTTGCAGAAATTTAAATTTTACAGATGGAGAGATCGAAGCAGAAAATAAATATGGGGGAGGCAGTGGGCCTGTGTGGTTAAGAGATATCCAGTGCACAGGCAATGAAATGGCTTTGCACATGTGCCCTCATACGGGTTTCAACAATGATGTTCTGTATCAAAACCTGTTCTTTCCTTGGCTTTATTCACCGTGTACAGGCCACCAGTCAGATGCATCAGTCTTTTGCTTCAAGGAAGGTAATTAAATGACATAAATTTCTTATTTCATTTTACTTCTGTCTTTCAATTCAATGGCTGAAGGGTAATGAACGATGTTTCATAAATCCAATATCTTGGATTTGATTACAGCACTTTGCGTTAATTTTGACAGTAGTATGAGTGTCGACTGTTCAAAAAATCAATGACAAGGTACTGAATGTAAAATTGCCAAGTAAAACTAAAAGCAGGCCAAAAAAATGTATGGGGTTCATTTGTTATTTCCTGTGAATATTCAACTAACGTTTGCCTTCAATTAACACTTTCAGTAACAGTCAACCTACTATACATGCATTGATTATTCTTTAGATATAATAGATGTCAATACTGTTTATGTTTATTTCTTCTTTTAGCTTAATAAACATTATGCCAATTTTAATTTAACTTTTCTTAGTCCAAAGGAAAGCATCATACATTCATAAAGCCCAAAGAATGCAAGTTGCACTGATTATACATCTCTTTTTACTATCCCTTGAGCCTCTTATGCTAAACCCTCTGGGACTGAAAGAGTTAAACTCATTCTGTCCCTTTTTGCCTCATTTAAACTCAGCAAAATCCCCATATGGCTGTAAGTAAGTACACTTTATGATAGAGATGTCTAAGAAACAACTGCCTGGGAATAAAAGAGTCAAAACCATCCAATTGTTTAGGTTTCTGTTTTTGATTTGCTTTTATCTTTCTTGGCATTGCAGTAGCAATATGGCTAGATACTTGCTTCCAAGCTGAAGGTCTTCATTTTCAGCCCACATCAAGGCATATTTGATTAAACAAGCTTGGCTTCTAGGCCAGCCTAAATTTGTTTGGGTTTGAGGAAATGTCCTAAGAAGTAAAGGTAGCTGGCATGGTGTTGACCCCATCACCTTTCAAGTGCTCATTTGCCAAAATAATGAGCCTATCACCTTAGACCCAATGCCCCAATTATTTACTTGCTTTACCTCTTAATTAAAATCCTCTGTTAATTAATTTATGTTCATTTACGTTTACCTTAAAAACCTTTCAATTATAAATTTTCTTTTTTTTTCCTTTTTTTAAACTTTTTACTTTTTAGGTTTTTAAAAATAGTATCCATTTTTCAATTTCTTTTTTTTTTAATAACTTTTTAATTCTAAAAAAAACTATCCATTTATTAATTTCTTTAATTATACTTTACATTCACCTTTAAATTAAAAACCGTCTATTTATTAATTTATGTTAACACTTTTTTTTTTAAATCTTTAAATATTGGCTTTTGCAATATTTTGTTAAAAAGAAATACCTATGTTTTTATAATTTTCTGAACACTATGTTAAAAAATTATAGGTCAGTTTTTTTACATAGGATTGAGACCTACGACCACTGAGTAGACAGATGAGCCAGCTAGCTATTGTGTCATCACAGCCCTGAAGTCACTAAACTGACTGAATTTTCAGTCATTATTTTGTACAGAGGGCGTCGGCGTGGCCTTGGCTGCTAGATGCCCGTCTGCATATCGGAAGGTCATGGGATCACGTCCTGATGGAGGCAGACTTTTTTAAAAAAATGACATTGGCTCCCAGGTTGACCCAGCTTTGAGTGGGTACCAAGTGCAGTCCTGGAAAAAAAAAGGCGGCCAGCGTAATGCTGACCACATCACCCACCAAGTGCCAACTGGTCTATAAGAATATAGGTCTAGCTCTATATTTCCAGTACACCTCAAGGTGTGGAGAAGGGTCCTTTTACTATATTTTGTGCAAAGGTGATTTTTCAAAATATATATATATAAAGGGAAGTAATCACCAAATACAAACATAGCAAAGAAATAACTGCTTTCCTTTACTTTGACCAAGAAAACAGGTGTTTTGTTGACAGAGCCACAGAGAGAAAAGAGATATGTGTGTTATGACATCACAGTGACACCAAATAATATCTCCAAAAATATCATGTGGGAATGAGAAGGGTTAAATATAATCATACCCACCAAGTCTACACACTATGCTGAGTGGTTTCTAGCCATGGCATCCGCCTTGAATGCTGGTGGGTCCCAGTAAAGGCTGGGATTTTTCACATAGACTTTTTATAATTTCTCCCTGGTTTCTGGATAGTAAGATCAGATACTCATGTGTATTGTTGCGCATGTAAAAAAAATTGTGTGGCAGTTGGAAGTTAAAAAGAGTAGCCTAATGGCACTGCCTTGGCTAAATTTGGAGTTGAAAAACTACCCAAAGTATTTCAGGATCCTCCTGGGTGCTACAGAGTTAATGTAGAGCACTGAGATTCTTTGGACTCAGGCTTGAGATAGAAGTAGAGCGGAGCACTTCTGGGTTACTACCCTTGTGTCATGATCTTGATCCGTTGTATAAACCAAACCAAACACTATGCAGTTACAGCGAATACCAAAGCACTCCATCAGTACACAAACCCACCTACATAGTGCTACAAGTTAGTTGGTAACCATTTATGGTGCCCTTATGCTTGGCATTGATCTCAGTGGTTTTTAGTTCCAAAACATTCTCATGAGATGACCAAACCATTTCATTTTTTGCTCTTTACCGAATTATGTAACTGGTTTCAGCTGTTTTATCTCTTGTTACTCTGGCTGATGTGCTAAGATTTGTAATTTCTGTTGCTATGATTTTCCACTCATTAGCTCAAGAAATGTCCATTTTTGACATTAGTAGCATGACAAAATCACAAACACTGATTTAGTGGAAAGAGCAGGTACTGCAACAGTCTTTTCCATGCTCAGTCTACGAAGGCGTAGCTATTTGGCCGTGTGATGTAGAGCTTTCCAATTGGAGGGGAGGACGGTTTGGAGCAACAGATAGCCCTATCAAAATTAGTTCTGTTCAATGTACAGGTACGTTATACACTTACATGTATGTAATGTCTTGTAATAATTAAAAGTCTTTTATTTTTTGATAGATGCTTTTTAGTTTGCAAGTTATCTAGCACCATTCATTCAGTAGCATGTCCCTCGCGGAACCTCGCTGCCATAACAACCCTCCGGAAAACCTTCCTATCATGAGCAAGATGTCCTGCGTCTGATACACCCATCTGGAGATCATCTGCCACATCCTGCACCCATCTTCTCCTCGGCCTTCCTCTTCCTCTCTTCCCAGGCATATACCCCTCCATTATTGTTCTCTCTAGACTTCCATGACGTTTCAAGTGACCAAAATATTTCAATTTTCTTTGTTTTATTGTCTTTACTAGCCAACCCTCTTCAATATTCAGCTCTTGAAGTATGGATGCATTTGTTCTTTTCTTTACCCAAGATATTCTTAGAACCTGTCTGTAACATTTATATTCAAATGCATTTATGCGCTGTTCCACTTGTTTAGTAAGTGTCCAGGTCTCACAGGCGTATGTTGCAATGGGAAAGATGCATGCTCTTAAAAATCTGACCTTTGTAATTCTATACTACTTTAAGCTTTCCTTCATACAAACTTCTCACATTCCACGTTCCTATTCGCATTCTGTTTCTTAGTCTGACACAGTGGATTTCCTTGGTAACACAGTCAGGATTAACTCCGTCATCACGATTACTAGTACTGACCCCTGTATCACACTCTTCCCCAGTGTTATCTGATCTGCCTGGCCTGGGGGTCTCGCCACCAGATCTCTTCTGTGTTATGTTTTCTTTCATGATTGTTATGGATTCTTGGCAAAATTTGCAGAAGGTAGTTTGCCGTTGCTTTCCTCCTGAGCAGTGACTATACTAGTCGGTGGCCATAGCCATTGTCTCTACTGATGAGATCATCTGCCTATCGCCGCAGAGTGCAGACTATAACCAACAATACCTGTCGGCTGCTCTTACACTCCATCCACCACCTGCTTCCATGGCTTCACGTAACCCTGATTGGGGGGCTAAACGGGTACTCCACCTTGCCCAAGGGTGTCCCGTAGACTAGCGGAGGAAAGGAGGCGTCTTACTTCTCCTTTGATAGGGAATACCCCTACCCCGCTAACCAAATCTAGCACCAGTTGAAACAAATATTAGTTTTTTGGTGCCGGATAGTTGTAACTTCAGTATCTGTCCTAGTTTTTTTATTTTTTACTTTTTCCTCCTCTTCTTCTTGTTTTTCTTTTTCTTCTCCTACTCCTAGAAATGTAAATTACAGTCACATCTCAAAGACTTTCATTACTCTCTGCATATACTTTCTTTATATCATTTTATAAGCAAGTTCAATTTTTGCTTTCAACAGGAAATGAAAGTACTTTATCACAGTGCAGGCTGTCTACAACTGGAGTGTGCACATCAAAGACATATATCTCCATTGTCTGTTACAATTATACTCTTACAGATGAGGATTTCAGTAAGTACTTCTCACTTCTTGTCATCAGTTTTACTGAACTGTGTTGTTTAGGTCCCATTTAATGTATTCCATTTAGTAGTAACATATAGCAAGTAACATGTGTAAACATTATTTTAGCAGTGAAGTGTTTAAGATGATGAAAATAAATACATTGTCTAGCATGACAATCCATTACTGAATAGTTATGTTACTTTCTGTGTTTTTTTAGGAAGATTAACAAGAAAATGATGAGATAACAGAAGGTTGTGGAAATGTAGTTATTCAAAAGAGTGTTGAGAAAATTGTGGACAGAGAAGAAAAAAACATGGATACCGACAGATGTAAATGTTAACTCATGACAGTTGTAAAGAAAATACAAAGGGTTTTCCTGGCTTATAGAAGAAGAGGTGAAACAGAGGGTTTCCGCATATAGACAAATACTAAGCACAAAAAACACAGGATGATAAAAAGTCAAAGAAGAATTAATCAGGAAATCTAAAGCATCTGTGTAATATCAGCTTATGCTGGTTTAGATGGTTGGTTAGTTAGTGGACAGACTATCCTCATTGCACATCCAAACACTCAGTTCATAAGGGCTCAGATCCCCTCCTCAGTAAATCCCGCAGAGTATTAAAAACCTCTTAACTCCCTTAGAACATTCAGTATATCAGCCTGGACTATGGCTTGTCCGGTTTTCCCAGTAGCCTTACTTGCAAGCCTATCATCTTGCTCATTTCCTTGTTCTTCCACATGTCCTGGCACGAAAATAAAACTAATCCTTGTCAGTCATGAATTCTGTAGAGCCACCAACCACTGCCTTCGGACCCAGCCCTTCTCTATCTTCCTGAGCATATTCATCGAGTCACTGAGAAAGCATTCCCCAGTGAAAGTCTGTGTCTTTAGATGGTATCCCAACTAAAGCTACTGAGGCCAGTGATAGCTTATAAACTGAATGGAGTATTGCTTCCTCTGTGTGATAGTTGGATGTCTAGTCAGTAGCGATGCCTTCTCGCGTAGACAATGAATACACACATATGATGAGGAGAAAGCAACTCACAGTTTCATTTCTTTATTGCTGTTCCAATAATATTATCGTCAAGTCGCTGTCTTCTTATCTCTTTTGTCTTACTAGACTCAATTGTCAAATGTTACACTACATGCATACGATGTTCACAATCATTAGCAGCTGTTACCTTGCTTTTCCAGTAGGCCATTCGTGCAATGCACAGGTGACGAGCTTGCATCTTCAACACTCTGCTATCAATCTTTACAGTCGTGCTGGGTGTCAACTTGAGGTAACTTCTGGTCAGGCATTCACCTTCAGGAACCAGGAAGTTCTTCACACTGCCTTCAGTTACACGTCATAGCAGTCACACACCTCTCTGAACTCAACCATTCACCCTGGCTGCCTCACACCAACTGATTAGATCTCTGTCTCACCTTTAAAACCACTCTGTTATTTCCACGGGCTGTCACTTTTCAATAGTTCAGTTATACATGTGATTTTGTGAGTGTTTTTCTTCTCGCTTTCTATTCACTTGACCTACCCTTGACTCTAGCTCATCATATGGATTCCCTTTGAAAAATCCTCTCATTACACAGAATTATTGTAGAAATTGTTTAGTAGCGACTGGAAGATGTAAAAAAAAAATACCAACAGACTAGAGAGAATGGTATCTAATAAAGCAAAATGAGAGAGAGAGAGAGCAACTGAGAGAGAGAAAGTGCACAATTGAGAGAGAGAGAGAAACATGAAACCTCAAGCCTTTCATTTTTGATTTTAGTGCACATTTGGTAATTCTCTGTCAACTTCTCATGAAGCCTAATATATCACTGTATTTACTTTTTTCCCCTCTCTCTTTTCAATTTTTTTTTAATTTATAAAAAACTGTTGATACCAGTGGTTGCCCATGTATTTAAACCCCCCCCCCCCCCCCACCTTGTGCAGTACCTCATGACAATTATCATCATGTGGACTTAAATATTATTCTATATTTCCTCACTGAACAGAGTTTCAAGTCAGACTCGCTGATGACAATATCAGGACTGGAGATAATCATGGTATCTTGGAAATTCGTCAAAATGGAGCATGGGGCAGGATATGCATGAAAGGATTTACCAAGAATGAGGCAACAGTAGCTTGCAAGGAACTTGGAGGATTTATAGGTAACTGAAATTAGGTTTTTTCTGGTTTCAAATTTTAAATATGTTATTGACCTGGGTGTAACCAGAGGGTCTGGCCGGCTTACTACACTCAGAGGAAAGGCAAGACGGACATACAACCAGTTTGTGATCGGTACCAACACTACTGGAACTCTGCACTGGCTGCTAAAGATGAGGACGGAGCACGCATAGGAATGCCAGAGTGCTGTGATGTCAATTCTTGACTCAACTCAACTCAAATATATTATTGATAATGTGGCTGTGCATTTGATGGAAAAAGAAAGAGGTTGAATTTTTTTTTTTAACTGACAAAAATATATTTTATAAAGTTGTTTAAATATGACAGCTTTTATATATAGAACCATTTTAAATGCACGGACATTGTCTTGCTATTGACTTTTGATTATTTCTATTTGTAGGTTACAGAAATTTTTATGTATTTTTAAAAAAAAAAAAAATACATTTCTCTACATTTTTAGAGAAGCAGCTGGCCAAATGGTTAGAATGCTGGGCTCTTAAGTGGGACCCCCAGGTTTGAATCCTTGGTAAGGCTGGAGATTTTTTCTGTCGGTGGGGAAGATAAAACCCTAACCTGCACAGTTGAGGTGACAGCACTAGCCATGCAGCCGTATATCCTCAGGCTCCAACACCCCTCTGCCTTCACTGCAAAAGTGGTAAAATAAAGGCAATAATTGGAAATTTTTCCTCTACTTTTCACAGGGGGTATGACATACCTACATTTGTTCAGAAATCGTCTTCCAATTCTGTGGAGTAGTGTGAAGTGTAATGGAGATGAATCATCTCTACAAAACTGTACTTTCAGTACAGACGTGGATTTGCAGAACTGTCCATACTTGTCAAATGATGCTGGTGTACTGTGCTACAAAACTAAAGAAGGTAAGACTTGTCATGTCTTGCCACAGATGGGTCATGGCTACCCTTCTATGGCATATTGTCATCATTATTTAGAATCTGTAAGTTAATAAGTCAAGGACCCTTTATGAGATAGGGAAAACACATCAGGCATATGATGTTAGACTCATATTTTTGAGGACTAATCAGCACTCGCTGGGTAAAAATCAGCATCATGCCAGCTTCCTTTACTTCCCAGGCCCTTGCCTGGTACCCATTTTAGGGGGTGTCAAACTGGGAGCCCAGTTTCAGACCAGCAGGCGAGTGTCTAGCCACTACATTAATGCAGCTCCCTGTTGAGAATATGCCATGGAAGATAACAAGATCTTCGACAACATAGTTTATACACTGAACTTAGACTCGCATAGTGTTGTCTGAAGGAAGAGATTAGAGCAGTTTTGGATACATTTACAGGGGTTCTTCTGTAGCTTAGGAACATTGTTACTGCATTTATGTGTACATTTGATTATCTACACCAAAGCTATTCAACTAAGTTTTCCCAGAGGCCAAAATTTGGAAAATGAGAATTGTCACAGGCCAGAGGGCTAAACCTTAGCATAGAAAGATCATTAATACAATACACCTGGCAATGATCCACAGACCACTTGCTAGGCCCCTGTTGGCCAGATTTGGCCCGTGGGCCGCCAGTTGAAAAGCCCTGAACTACACCCTTCTACTTCTTCTTCTTTGTTCATCTTTAAAAGAGTGGTTGGCATATTGTATTCTGGTTTAAATTAAGCCTGCAAAATCTGTTTTTCACAATACAACACATCCAGTTTCAGCAAACCTTTGGTTAATCACCTTTTATTGCGTGTTACAGTTCTGTAGAGTCGCTGACTAAATATAAGATGTTTCCTGTGTGGGTTATGGGGCCCTATTGTCGGGGATAGGGAAGGGGGAATAGACTTACTGCTTCACTAAAAAGCATGTCAAAAGAGTCATCTAATTAGGGGTTTCCTTTGAAGTCGGAGTGCATCTGCCTGAGGGGTAAGAAACCAACAGTTTGCATACAAACAAGCCAGATTGTAAAATGAATGTGTATTGAAGATTCAAGTTCTGGAACAAGGTTAACTCTTTCAGGCCCATGAATTTGGATGACTTTGGCTCACATGTACATTTTACATCAAATGATATGTTTTTGTTTAGTACTGTTAAAGTAAGTGGGAAAGAAGAATTTAGCAGATGTTATGTTTACAAAAACAAAAGTTTACCCCCAAAAAAATTTTTTTAAACTCCCCAAAAATGTGTTACATACCTTGGTTTGCAGCCGCAAAAGCAGTTAATTTGAGAATAACACTTTAAAGTTTGTTCATTTTCCTAACAAATTTCAAAGTTTTGAGAAGTTTCTGGGTTAGTTTGAATATGGAATCAATATTTATGGGATACGCAGACAGTGTTGTTTGGGCAAATTAGAACTTCTCAATCAAAACAACACACAAAGCGTTGCTCGGGCCTCAAATAGTTAAAGACCGGAAATGACAAACAACTAGAACTTTTCACCAGAGTTTATAGCCAGTGAGTGTAAAGAAGAAGAAGAAAACACATAAGTTGTTAAAACATATTAATGAGTTCATTGATGTAAATTACTAATATCAAGTCACACATGGTGTGTTGATTTGGACAGACAAAGTTGAGATTTAATCTTTCCATTTTTATACTTTTTATTTTGCTATTTATTATTATTGAAATCTGTGAATATAAACTTGTAAAATGTATCCACATATTAGCTTTATAATGTTTTTCTTTCTTATTAAGGTGTCCAGTACAGACTACAGGGTGGAAATGACACAAGCTCAGGGCGGGTAGAAATTGGCATTGATGGAAATTATAGCTCAGTTTGTACCGTCAACTGGAATGCAGCCAACTCCAGAGTTTTGTGTAAAAATCTGGGCTTCGTAGATGGCGTTCCATCCAGTGTGAGAAATAACAGTCTAGAAAGTCTCTCTCCACTGATGAGCTTCTTCTTGTGTGAAGGCAACGAAACTGATCTTTTCACTTGCATGAACTCTGGATTTGACTATGGCCAGAGGAACCTCTTCTGTGGGGGAGATGCTTACACTGCTTGCTTTCAAGAGGAAGTCAGTAAGTGAAATATCAAGCACACATAGTGTACATGTTATTGTACTTGACAGTTGTCTTTGTCTGCAGGTGTACAAGAAAAGTTATGTGATGTGAGATACTGACCACATTACCGTCCTTTTTGTTGGCAACTTTGTATCTTATTTTTTCCAGACTATAGTCGTATATGGTAGTCGCGGTAGCGTAGCAGCTAGTCGCTCACGTGCCGATCGGAAGGTCGTGGGTTCGCTCCCTGGCAGAGCCTGACTTTTAAACAAAAATGACCTAGACTCCCAGGTCGACCGAGCCTTGAGTGGGTACCAGGTGCAGTCCTGGGAAGTAAAGGCAGCAAGTGTGATGCTAACCACATCACCCATCTTTGTGCCGATTGGTCTATAAAAATATAGGTCTAGCCCTATATGCCCTAAACGCTCACAGGTGTGGAAAAGGAACCTTTAATTTTATTTTCCAACTTAATTAAGTCTTATATTGTGTTATAGAAAGGCATGGGACTCACAACTCATGGCGATCTTCTCCATGGCACAAAGCCTGAGCACTATTGTAGAGACTATGTGTTGTCCATGCAACATGACCCCCCCTCCCCTTTCCCGGACTTGTCTTGTTTACTCCAAAGGAAAGGTAACACCAATATGTTTGGAGCAGAGCATGCTGCAGAAGCTGCTGGATCAGAGCAGGGCTCTTTCTGTTGGAGCTTCCTTCCTAGACTAGATGCCCTACCACAAAATTGAGTTTCTCAGGTTTTTACCTCTTCTTATGACAAATCACTAAGAACTATGAGACCAGTGTGTACCAAGGTGTGTAAATGATACATTTTGCTTATAGTTGAACAAAATTTATACCATTTTGACTTCAAACTGGACACTTTTCAAACCAAAGTGTTCAATTTTCAAACCACCCTGGACAGTTTTCAAACCAACAAGGCCATTTTTCAGATCAAACTGGAAATTTTTCAAACCACCCAGGACATTTTCAAATTTAACTGGAAGCTTTTCAAACCACTGTACTAGACCGGAGGGGCCCTTTAGTATCAAGAAAAAATTAAGAAAAAAGGGTTCATTTTGGTGGGGGAGAGATCAGAATATCTCACCCAGGCAAGAAATCTTTTGTGTAGAGTCTAGTATAGCCCAAGCAACTAACGAATAAACTAAACTAAGGACACTAACTACAAGTCCTAAGCTGAAGGAAACAACTGTAACTATGAATACAACGTTGAACTACATTTTTATTTAACATCACATCAGCGTGGCCAACAAATAACGACATTAACGACAACTATGTGTTCGACCAGCATCTCAAATATAAAGCGATCTACCATCCAACTATCTCTTGGCAAGAATACAAATGAAAATTAATTTTAAAACTAACCAACTGAACGTACCATGACCCGAAATCAGTCAGACCACGAACTTTCCCTACGCCCGCCATGCCTGTTAACTGGCGCATTCTGCAAAGCATAGTCATTAGGTAGGCTGGCGCAGAGTCCGTCCGGAGGTCGAATAGGTTGAAAATCTGTCAGTCCGGTCTTTAAATACCTCAGTGGCCAGATTTTTTCTGTGTTATCGTCTAACACTAATAGATGGTAATGTTTCCCCATTGGCCTGTTGGCCATTTTCAAACCAGAATAAATTCAAGATCTTCAGGCTGCTGAACCGTATGTTTCCAGCCTGTTACACTACTAAAGAGGTTTTTAAAACCAAACTGAGTGATTTTCAAATCAGAAAGGACCATGTTCAAAGTGAAGTGGGAATAGTTTATTTTCAACAATTTACACTTCTTAACCAGTAAAGTGGTTCACTTTGACAAAGATAATAAGCAATTTACAAGAAAACAGGTGTCAACAAAGTTAAAATCATTTTACGATAGGTTGTCCTGCTGCTACTGTAGTCAAGTTTATCATCATATGGAGTATATATTTAGTGCAGTCTTACTGTGTCATCGTTCCAATGTTCTCTTTAGTTATTGTGTTTAGTGTTTGGTGGGGCTTGAGGTTGCTAAGCAGCACTTTGTCAATGCTTTCACCTTCAAAGATGTTTTCTGCTGGATTCAGAATGTAGATGTAAGGTGACAGGAACTTTAGATGATAAGTTGAGCCCAAGATTCTCAGTATATCATCTGTCTTTTTTCAAAAATGACCTTGGTTCCCAAGTTCACCCAGTCTTTAATGTTTACCAGGTAAAGTCCTGAGAAGTAAAGGTGGCTGGAGTAATGTTGACCACATCACACCCAGAGTACCAACTGGTTTATAATGTAAAGGTCTAGCCACTGAAACTACATAACACATCCGAAGGTTTACAACTGATGCCTCTTTACAACCAGACACTAGAAGGCAAAAAGAACTAGAGAAGAATAAAAAGAAGATAATGGATATTCATGGATTTCTAGCTTATATTTTTGGTTATGTAATATCTTTTCAAATAGTTGTGCTATCTGTCTATGGGTATATTTAAAGATTTTTAATAAATGACTTTTACTATTTTACTATACTGGATGACAGTTTATTTCCACCATCAACTAACTTACCTTGCAAAAATTTCCCTTTTTGTGCATTATATAGATTTTTTTTTTCTATTTCCTTTTCTATTCTTCTTTTTCTTCACCGTAATCTCTGGCAGAAAGTTCTGGCTGTTCATCCACTTCTGGATTGCAGTCCTGTTCCAAAACCTGAGTGTTGCGTTTATCCATTTTACAGATCTAACTCATTTGTGTGCAGACTCCTGTTTCCTTGCCTCTCAGGCAGAAGCACTCCGACTTTGAAGGAAGCTCCCAATTAGTTGACTCTTACGACTTTTGGGTAGGCAGTGGATCTGTTCTTGTTTACCCTATAACAGGGCCCCGGAACCCACACAGGGTCTTATCTATTCAAATAGGCAAGATTATTTAAAAGTTGTATCTTTAATTCCTTAAAAAATAAACATAAAGCTATTTATTATGAGAGTTTGTGTTTTTATTTTGCAGAAATAACAGACATGCGACTTGGAGATGGGGAAAGAAGTCAAGGAAGAGTGGAAGTTTATGTCACAGGACTAAATCAGTGGGGAACAGTGTGTGACGATCAATGGGATAATCTAGGTGCTCATGTTGTCTGCAAGTACCTTGGCTATGACACAGGTAAGTTATAATAAAACTGTATGTATGAGGGAAACATTTAAATTATTGGTATGAGTTGTGCTGAAAGGAAAAAAGAAAGATAAAAGAAAGATATGTGGGGAGGATAGCATTGGATATGGAAAGTGTTAAAGACTTTAAAGCGAGGAGAATACAGAGATAATTACCTGCATAGCTTATCCATATGCATGGGTAGAGCAAAAGTGCGATGATCTGTTATGTGGAAGATCATTTGTGATAGGGAACCAAGACTGCCCATACATACTGACATGGCACAAGCTGATTCTGCTCTAGAGCCAATATTGTTTGTAATTTATTAAAAACTGAACTAGACGGTCTTTTATTTACATACTTGTTAACAGTGCAGCAGTACTGTTTTGATGTTAGCACTGAATATTCTTCTTTGTCTTCTTGTGTTCACCGTCTGTAAACTACAGTGATAACTTCTGGTTGTTCCTCAACTTTCTGGACTTTGGTCATATGTTTAAACTTTAATTATGCATGTGGATCCGTTTGACAATTCTGGTTTATTTGTAAGCTGACTGTTGATTCTTTGCTGCTCAGGCAGATGCACTCTTACTTCGAAGGAAACACACCTAATTAGTTGCTTTGTACAACAATTTAACAATTGTTTTAAAAAATAAGTTTTAGTGGGTGAAAGGGTTAACTTTCCTTGTCTTTCATAAATTTCTTAAAATGATGAAAGATCACCCTGCCTTTTGTGTCATCTGATTTAATGTGAATGTTCTTTGATTTGCTTGTAGGTGTTGCTACAAGTGGTTCTTATAAGATAGGTTCGGGATACATTGTTCTGGACAATGTTGTATGCAATGGTACAGAATATTTACTCAGTGAGTGCAAACATCAAGGCATCAACTACCACAACTGTGACCATGCTGAGGATGCTGGAGTCAGATGTTTTAGTAAGTTGTCTTTCATTCTCACAGTTTTCTCAACTATGTTTATTTGCATAGTTTTATAAGGCTTGTTTAGCATTTAATAAGTAAATACTTACTGGAAAGAGGAAAAAGATCTGCAGGAAAATCAAGGAATTATAATATGGACACATGAAAACATAACCTGACATAAATAACAACATTGACACAGTCACTTGGGAGAGATTAGCTTGCAGACCGACTCCTGTGGATGCAGTCAGTGAAGAACGGAACTATTGCAGTTTGCAAGAAGCCAATCATAGAAAGTTATAGAGAGGAGACAACAACAAAAAGCAGCATCGGTATAATAGAGTATCAACATTTTTGTGTGGACTGTGGTAGTTACTGCCACTCCCACACACTCTTAACAGTCATAGCAGACACTGTTCCCAAAACCATCGGCACAACTTCATGGTCCCTAGGGACTGACAGGTGCCTACTAATGAATATTTTCATGACGAGTGGCTGGGCCAGCAGCTAAGAATGCTGGCCTCCCATTCAGAACACTCAAGTTCAAATCCTTTTTGAGATGGATATTTTTCCGCTGAGGGCAAAAATAATCTCACCTTGTCAGTCAGTAGTGATGCACTAGACGAACAGTCTTATATCATCAGTCACAAGATCCTTACACTGTTCTAAAAAGTGGTAAAATGCAAGTAGCAAGGACTTGAAAAAAAAAAAATAACCATTATTCCTCTGAAGCACTAAGGAGTAATATAGATGGTACTTGGTCTCAGATCAAGAAGGTACACTTGGGGTGTATTACAACTGCATAGGACAGAGATTATCGCTCACACATGGGATGAGGTAACAAGTAAAATGGAAAATATTGAAAACCCATACCTGGAGAGAATGATGCAGTGGGAAGTGTCTGCCAGCTGGGAGTGCCACCTGAGACTCAAGGGAAAAACCAGATAATCAAAGCAAAGTACAATTTCAACTATGATTAAAACATAACTGTCTGTTTTGACCAGGGCAGCCGTAAAGACAAAACTATCTCTTTCTGAATACAGAGTTCCGGGCGCAGGTGACGAATAGCAGAAGCTTCGAGAAATCTTAGCGTTCTGCCATTGGTTGATGTATGAAGGATTTGAAATGCGTTATTTTTAGTTATCTGGACACATGGTAACTAAAAATAATGCATTTCAAATCCTTCATAATTTGAAAATAACACCTTAAAGTTTTTTCAGTTTCCTAACAAATTCAAAAGTTATGAGACGTTTCTGAGTTAGTTTCTCACTCAGAAGCTCTAGGTTCTCATAGAGTGCTGAATAAAATGTCCAAAAAATTAATTGATTTGGCAATTCGAAAACCGACTTGTCCAGAGTTTAAATATTACGTATATGTAGGGGACATTAGAATTTTTGAAATGCTTAGCTGGGGGGTAGCACAAAAAAAGGTTGTGAAACACTGATGTAGCAGGTCCTATGTGGAATATCACTCACATCACAGTCTGCCTGGAGGACACTCAGTCTCATGCCAGATCTCCCACTTTATGCACTTCTAACCCAAGGCGTCACATATCATGAGCCAATCTCTGTGCTGGTCAGCCCCTGCCACTCTTTCTTGGCATCAAGCTTTCTGCTACTATTTTGTCCAATCCGCTGTTGCACTTGATATGGCCAATACATTTATGTTTTTGGGACAAGATGCTATTTACTAGCCAATCTTCCTTGATGTTCAGATTTTTTAGGATGTTATTTCTTTTCTTCTTGGTCCATGGTGATCTGAGAAACTTTCTATAGCATTTCAGTTCAAAAGCTTCCTTTTTGTGTGATAATAGTGAAAAAGCCCACGACTCACATTCATAAGTGTATATCACCTGTATCACAATTTGTCACCTATGCTTCTTTTGTGACTGTAATTTTATTGTTTGTCTTCAACAGATAATTCAGTGACAGTGGTGACATCTGCCACAACAACTGCTATGATACCTGTCCCCACAACGTCAGCTGAATATGTGCAGACAACTACTTCCACTGCAACAACAACCAAAATGACTACTATACCCACTTCTACACCCACCTCAGCTAGAACTGACACAACTAAGACAACAACAATTATCATCTCAACCACAACGACAACAGAGCAGGGTTTACCTAGTACAACTACACAAATAATCACAAATACATCCACACCTGGTCTGAATGAATATAATGCTCAATCTCAAGATAACAGCGGAAGCACTGGGGTCATAGTCGGTGCCTGTGTTGCTGTCTTGATTGCCATTGCCCTGATAGCTGTTGTTATCTTTTTGTTCTACAAATACAGAGTTAATCCCAACCCACATAAACGTTTTCATGATGATGATATTCTGTCTAGTGACAATGGCTCCCTGGCAGTTTCTAATAGGGTATTTGATATCTCAAACCCAGAAGGTGAAAATCCTATTGCTGATGGCTCTGAGATACACCTGGATCGTGCAGGATATGTAACATTTTCTAAGGGATCTCCTGAATTACAGCCAAATACTGAAGCAGGCTTTGCTAATCCATTATATGCTGTTATGCGTGATCCACGTGATCTGGATACAGAGTCGACCACATGAAGTGTCAGTGTTACTTAACTCTCCAATGCGTTATTTTGTTGACCAAAAGTTTGGATGGGAAACAGGCCATGAACAAATCACTCACTGACATTTAATATATATATATATCTGTGTGTGTGTGTGTGTGTGTTAACTCTTTGAGTCTCAATTGGTTTGGCATTACAGGACCAAGGGGTAGTAAAGAGAGACATAAAATCGGCGCAACATGCGTTAATTGGGCTTCTAGGTGGGAACCTATGAATGTATGATGCGTTCCTTGGGACTCAAAGAGTTAAAGAGTGTTCTCCTGAAAAAAATTTGAACAAAGAAGATTCAAACATTAGATGGGGCAATTTATTTCCTAATTTGCTATATCTTGTAAGATATTTCTTCTTCTTCTTTTGTCAATGTCTGCTTATGACGCTGGGTATCACAGTTCATCAGACGATTGGCAGCCGAGTGAGGGCGCGCTCGGTCACTTCAGATGCTGTCATATTATGCAGTCTCAAGGTGTCAATAACTTCTTCAGTCTATCTTCTCCTCAGTCTTCCCTGTCTTTTGGTGTTTGGATTTTCAGGCGGTACGCTCTTGCTGCTGGCATTCTTGGTTTCATTCTCATTAAATGGCCAAATCATTTTATTCTTTTGTTTCTCAATAAATTTTACGATAGGTGTTGTTCCAACAGTTCTTGTTATCACGTTGTTTCTCATTCAATCTCTTCTGGTTTTATTCACAGCCATTCTCAAACATCTCATCTCACAGGTGGTAAGTCTTCTCTCATGTTCTTTTGTCAGTGTCCAGGTCTGACACTGGTAACCTAAAGTGGGTTAAATATTGTATTTATAACTTGTCTTTTTGTCTCTATTATGATATTGTTGACTTGTTGGATTCTCATTTCTATCTCTCTGTCTATTTTACCATTGTATGTAAAGATGCTTCCCAAATATTTAAATTCTTGCACTAGTTTCGGACTTTGATCTTTGATCGATGGTTTGTTGCTCTCTGATTATCTTCATGCCTTTTTTTTTTTTTAATATTGATCTTCATGTGATGTTTAAGGTAACTGTTTTATAGTTGGTTTATGTGGTCCTGCAGCTATTCACTTTCACTTTGGAATATGCACTGATTATCAGCAAAGAGCCGCTCATTGAAGTCCTCCTGTTTATCAACATCTGGTGGTGTTATGTCTATTTTATTAATATTGTCCATGAATATTATAAAAAGTAAAGGTGAATGAACACACCCTTGCCTTACTCCTGATGTTACTGGGAACCAGTCTGTGAGGCCAGCTCTTGTTCTGATGGCACTTTCACTTTCACAATCTAGCGTTGTTCCATTTATACCAGTTTTCCTAGGACATCCCATAGTAAATCCCTGTTCACTGTTTTAAAATTCTTTTCTTGATCTTTTAAAGAGATGTTCATTTGGTGTCTGTGTTCTATTGTCTTTTCACTAATTTGCTTTAAGACGAAAATAGCGTTAGTACACCCTCTTCCTTTTCTGAATCCAACCAGTGCTTAGCTCATAATCGGTTCTACAACAGATTTAATTCATTGCTCCAGAATCTGGCAAACATTTTACCTATGTGACTCAAAAGGAGATGCCTCTATAAGTGTAACAATCTTGCTTATTGTCTTTTTTTCCCCATATTGGTACTACAATGGCTCTTTGCCAGTCTGTTGTTAGAGTTCTTTTATTCCAGGCTTTCCTAAATATATGGAGTAGCCAGGTGACTTCAGTTTTCATTTTCTGTTACGTTCAGAAGAGTTAGGAAATATTCTTTCAATTTTCCTTTCATTTTACCAACTTCATGTGTGGATCTACCTTGACTATCATTGACATATTTTGATGGTTGGAATGGGTCATCTCTGGTTCTCATTTTTGCAATGGTTTTGTAAAACTGTCTACTAGAATTAGCAGAAAGTTTGGTAAGATGTTCCCCATACATGATCCAGGATGTTTATTGGCTTGTTTGATTTCTCTTACAGATTGTCGCCTTGCTACTCTATATGCGATACAGTAGTCATCTGTGCAGGATCTTAGCAATTTCTTGTATTTCTCCTTCTTAATTTTCACTGCTTGTTTTACATAATTACTCCACAATGCTGTTCTTTTCCTTAGTGTTCCTCCTGTCTGTCTGATACCACAGTGTGTTGTTAAGGCGTTGAGGAGTGTGCTCTTAAATGTTTGCAATGTTGTTTCTATACTGTCACTTGATGTTGTTAGCTCACCTAACTTCACTGTCATTTCTGCCCTAGCATTTGCTTGGTTGTCTAGGTCACTTAGTTTTCTTATGTCAGTCATTGTGTTACGTATTTCTGTCTTTGGTTTTTTTGTTGATTGTTGCTTCATTTAGATATACAACCAGCAGTTGATGGTCAGTATTTACTGTGATGTTTGGAATTACTCTTGCATCTTTTACCAATTTTCTCCTCTTTTGTCGATTCAGTATCAGGTACATACAACAAAAATAAATAAAATGAAACACTCATTTAAATCATATTGGCTAAAAGACAGAACATGCATCAACATTAGCCCATAACACAATGAATGAGCGGTATTGTAGGGACCATGTGTTGTTCATGCGTCTTGATCCCTGAGTAATACCGGCAGGAGCAAACCCACCCAGATTGGAGGGCATGTTACTTTGTGAGCCTAACATGCTTCAGTATAACTGTGTTGTATAGCTGAAGGTGGTTTCTGGGATTTGTAACTGTTTGATTCTCATCCATGAGTTGTTAATCCGACAGACTGCAATCCTAGTGAGAAAAACTATATTTTTTTAAAAACTGTGTGGGGGGGGGGGGGGGGGGGGGGTGGGGGGGGGGGGGGGGGAGGGGGACATGCTACAGAAGTTGCCAAATTAGAAAAGCAGTGCTCTGTTTGAATGCCTGTTTTACCATGTTAATTGAAAACTGATTACTGTGTCTTTCTGTTTACATAGAAGTGGATGTCAGCAGCAATTAGCTGCAGGTTCGGCAAATAGAAATGTGTTTCCTATATTCACCTTGTGACTAAATATCAAGAAGTGACCAAAAATGGAACATGCAAATGATTCTGTCTGGTCAGCTATTTTCAGAGTTTGGACAAGAATTTTTAGTTTGTTTGAATTTTTTTTTTTTTAACTTCGAGTTTATACAGTGTATAATCAGCTACTTAGTTATAAATTGCCTTTCCATTGTGCCTACATAGGTAGCTTTGTACCTATACTGAAATTTGTAATTTCAACTTGATTTGGCACACAGAACTGGATACCCTCAAGAAAAACATTGCTATCAACTGTGTATACAGCTGGCATGACAAGTATAATTGTTGTCCATTCATTTACATTCTTGAAAGAATATGCTTAATTCTTGCTTGCATGACTAGCTAAAAGCAGCAGTCAATAAAATGTTCTATACTGCCTTACGGGTTTAATCTAGCTGGATTTCCAGTTTCAAGCCAATTTATAGGCAGAAAAGAACAACAATGAGGTAATAAGTAGGTAATCACAAAAAATTGAACATCATTCTGATATTTCTATGCTTTTAACAAGTTAAACTGGTTTATAAACAGTATCTTGTCTTGAAAGTGAGATATTTTTGACATGTTAAATGCCATGGTGGCCTGGAAAGAATGTTGAGGGAGGGACAATTTCCAGAAAACGAGGAAAAGCCATACCTCCACCAAGGTGGATACAAGACACGGAAGGTGCACTGGTTTGGAAGCACATACGGCTGGATAATTGGCAAGAGGAAGAGACTTCTAGGCCTGCTGTGATGACAGAAACATTAGGTAAAGGACCTGCTATTTGATAATGAACTAGTCAAAATATATTCTATTTATTAATTTTGTCTCATCGCTTAAACTTTTGTTATAAGGTCAACAAAGACAGTGCAGTTCACTTTCTTTCTACTTCTGATGTTTTCCAGAGACATGATCATCTATCACACTGGCATCCAATGCTGTTTAAAAACAAAAAGACACATCACTTTAAAATTATCCTGGTAAAACAGGCACTTCCATTTGAGTGTTAGTGACTATGTGTATCTGTATTTCAGCCGAAAGTATTGTTTACCTTATTTATTTCCCTTTGATAAGAGTGGTGCAGGTCAAGCAGAATATTTCAAAACACATTTTTGTTTGAGCCTTCTTTGTTAAAATTTAAAATATTTCTGTAACTTCTGTGTAAATAAATGTGCAGATATATGTAGTCAACCATGTACAACAAACTGTATCTTTTATATATTTATAATAATACATATGTTTATGATATATGTGAGTATAGATGAAAAAGCATATATCTGTATTTTTCTTTTTTTTTAGGTGCATATGCATTAATTCACGTTTATGAATATGTGAATATCTTAATGTGGTTGTTTGTTTTTAAAAAAAAAAAACTAATTGCTTGTATAAACAATGGAATGGAATATAAATTGTATTATTACTTTTCAGTTTATTATTAAACTTTGAGTCAGTTCAAAAAATCATCTATGGGATTCACAGGCTAAATATTCAACCAAGTTTATTGCATACAGGCAATTTAGACCAGATGTATTTTTGGTTGATCCTAGGAAAATCAAAAAGAGAAGAAATAGTGATATCTTAAAAGATCTGAACATCAAGGAAGATTGGTTAATAAACAGCATCTTGTCTCGGAAGCTAAAATATTTTGGTCGTATCAAGCGCCATAGTAGATTGGAAAAAAAAAAAATAGCCGAAGGCATGGTACCAGGAAGGAGGGGCAGGCACTGACTAACATAAAGATGGGCACAGGATATGAGTGACTCCTTGAATATGAAAGTAAACAAGGCGGAAGAGCTGGTGAGCGTCCAAGTTTCTTTGAGGCAGACCGTGATGATAGCATCGTTCTGCAAAGGAGCTGTTACATGATTATGAATAGGAAAATCAGTTTTCTTTTTTTAATTCAGTTCTATGGGGTTATTGACTCACTGAAGTAGGTGACTCTCCACAGTTATGTTGTCATCAGTCTGTTTGTTTGTTTGTTTGATTTATTATAGAATCAGAACAGTTGCTGATGA